TCCATTTTCTTGGGAATTCTTGGGAATTTCCATTTTGATGTGTGGCCACGCTGCACCATGTGTCACAGTCCTTCATTTAAAGAAAATCTAGGAGAGCTATAAATCGCTCTCCTCAAATCTTTGAGGAGAGTAAATCGCTCTCCTTAAAATCCATGGATAAACATCGGTGAAACGACGGATTAACATTGTTTTTGTTTTGTTTTGAATATCAGGATTTATTCAAGGGGCTGCATTATTATTAGTTTTTGCATAATAATATGCTCAAGTGGTGTTACTTCTTTCGTTTTTGTAACTGTAAAAAGTAAGACAAGGTAAAATTTATTTTAAAAAAAATAACTAAATGGAGATCAATAAAAGGTTTGACTACTGCTTACGCTTTCATATTTTAATACAGTTGTCAGTTGGTTCATCACTTAATTGTACTTGGAAAATGGAGTTAATAAACGGCACATAAAGCAACTGAGTACTTGTATTCAGATTCGTTAAAATTACATGAAAATTTTCAGTCTGAACTATTTCCATTGCACTACGAAAGCTACATAAAAAGGGCCTCAAAATGACAAAAATAAGCCTTAAGTATTATCGAAATGTTTGCCGTCGATTATCTTAAAAATAATGGAAAATGCAGGTCAAGTATGCACAATGCTAGTCACGACGAGAAACTGGCTATCAATGTCTGAACTTTGCTTGGTTCGAGAGCGTGCCGCATGATGCACTGTGTGTGGGTGGGCCGGGAATGAGCCTCGTTTTACGGTATGAGTTTTCGGTGAAACACGCTGCATCGTTTCACTTCATAAACCAGTAGTACTTCCTTGAAATAAATTCATGAACATGGGATATACATACACAGACAAGAGAGATCAAGTTCTGTGAATTAGCTTGCAAAGATCATCTTTCTTATCGATGTTTTCTTCGCATTTTTACGATGTTTATTCCGGATCCGTCCGCCCTGCATGCAAAACACATGTACTACGTGCATGCACCGGCACACCGCGCGCGACTATTGCATTGGCTGGTTACCGCATTTCCATCATGCCTTCTTTGGCCCACAGTGTGCGGCGCAGCGGGAACCAGTCACTGCTGGCCCACGTGTTTTCATACATCAATGCAGCTCTATGCGATATGTAGATAGTGCACATACAGTATACAGCTGCTGTGCACGCACGATCTTTGACAGTATGTACGAGCTCAGTGTTCGTTCATTTATAGCAAAATTCCGCAGAATAAACGTAAGTTTGGGCATTAATACAAATGAACAATAAGTGTAGCTAAAAACTTAAAATCCTTGGCGTTTTTATTTTGGATTTTTGAGGAGCGCTATTTTTTGCGCTCCTTTGAGACAATCGAGGAGCGCAGTAGGAGCGCCTGCGCGATCGCGCTCCTTAAAAATAAAGGACTGGTGTCAATATCGCGTGGCAGTACAGTCCTTTCCAAACTTCAGTTCAGATCATTTAATTCCACAGTGTTCCCAATAAAAGTACATCAAACTTTATAACTTGTATTTCTAAAGTCAGAAAATAATAAAATATATAAAATACACGCAAAAGTCCACTTGGTGCTGAAGGTGATGGAGAAAATCTCGGGTTCGCTCGGAAAGCTTGATCATGGTGTGTAATTGCGTATGATGAAGATCGCAGTGGTCGGGTGGTGCCCCGCCTCTGCGACCGGGCGGGCTGGTCGAATTATAATTACCGAGGGACCTATGGGTATCGAACGCCAAGTCTCCCCTACCCGCAAGTACATGAGTGTCGATCTCTTCTGCTGCTTGCATGTGCTCTTGTAGACTGTCGAATGTGCGGGATTTTCCGGGAATCTTGCAGTGACTCTCGCTGGAGAGAAGTGCCTGTTCCCGGGGTATTTCCTACCGTCGAAACCAGGGATTAGACCTGGCGGTAGTGGCGGAAATATCATGCTTGGAGTGTTGATTGGAGGGTGATTTCCCGGAAGATTACAACTTGAGCAAATAGATTTCTTAATTTTACTATTTTTGGCGGAGTCCGCCATGTTTTGTTTTTTTACAAGCACAGCGAATACGGTTAAATTGTACGTGTTGACGCTACACGTCGCTGAAAAAACTAGGCGGAGTCTTTGTGTAACAGGGCTATTTAAGGGACATGTAGTGGGCGCGGAGGGTGAGGCTTGGGCGCTATTCTTTTTAGCAAATGTTTGTGCGCATGCACACTGATATGCAAATGTAGGTAAACAGAGGTGAGATGTTTTCTGTAATAGAATAAAAAAGGTTACAACTTACAACTATAATTATGTGTCTTGTTTTTTATTTAGATTATTGTTATTTATTATCAGCGGTCTCAAGTCTCGGTCTCAGTCTCAGACCATATCAGTCTCGGTCTCGGTCCGCCTTGAAGGGGCTTGTCTCGGTCACGGAACTTCAGGTCTCAGTCTTGGTCTTGGACTATCTGGCCTCGACTACAACACTGGTATACAGCACCATGTAAACGTTGACCTTGGTCCGACCTTGACCTACATGTAGGCCAACCAAACCAGGCACCCACTATAATGTAATTTATGGGACCTATTACAGTAATAACAAGTCAGGTGTGTTTACAAACACAAATGCCCCGCAACCGTGACTGTTTCCATGACATAACACCACTCTAACATCAACTTACATGTACCTTGGTCAAATGGAACGTTCATTGACAGCATCAGTGTCTTCTGTAGGTTTTATATGAATTAATCCCTAATCCCTATGATCTCAGAATAAATACAAGATTTCTATTGTTTTAGCCACTGTGACCTTGACCCTTGACCTTTCGACCCCAATGCGATAGGCTCCTTAGGATTGCCAAGGACAATCCGCAAACCAAATTTGAAGTTCATATGTAAAGTATATCTCAAGTTATCGCGCTGACAAAATTTCTATTGTTTCAGCCACTGTGACCTTGACCCTTGACCTTTCGGCCCCAAATGCAATAGGCTTCTTAGGATTACCAAGAACAATACACAAACCAAATTTGAAGTTCATATATAAAGTATTTCTCAAGTTATCACGCTGACAAAATTTCTTTTGTTTTAGTCACTGTGACCTTGACCTTTTAGCCCCAAATGCAAAAGGCTTCTTAGAATTGCCAAGGACAATCCACAAACCAAATTTGAAGTTCATATGTAAAGTATTTCTCAAGGTATCGCGCTGACAAAATTTCTATTGTTTCAGCCACTGTGACCTTGACCCTTGACCTTTCGGCCCCAAATGCAAAAGGCTTCTTAGGATTACCAAGGACAATCCACAAACCAAATTTGAAGTTCATATGTTAAGTATTTCTCAAGTTATCGCGCTGACAAGATTTGTCCGGACACACACACCCACCCACCCAGTCGTTTTTTGCTATGCTTCCGAGGATTGGCTTTGTGTTTTCCTTTGTTCCCTGATCTAAACCTTTCCCATAGACTTAGTGCACAAACCGGCGTTCGAGGACAATAGACACCGTCGTTTGAGGATGAATGGCCCCTTTGTGCTCCTTTTGTTGTCTGTCCTCGAGCGTAATACAATACAGGAACACACACACACGCACCCACACCCAGACTTGTTTCACATACCTAGTGTGGACTTTCCTTTCTTTTCGTGTAATTAAGGAACACCAGTGGAAAAACTCATTTTTCTCAAACTGTGAAAACTCTTACAACCCAATTTTTTTTCAATGATTCCCTTTAGTGTTTCTCTTCATTCTGCTACAGATAAACCTAACCCAAAAATGCCTCTCAACCTGTTTTCCAGAAATGGGGAAACACTGTGTGGACGTGGGCAAGTCCACACTTCGTCGCTGCTACCTACATTATGTGGACGTCTTTTGTTCGGAAGTCCACACTGCGTATGTAAGACAAGCTCACACACACGCACCCACACACACACAGACTTGTTTCACATACCTAGTGTGGACTTTCCTTTCTTTTCGTGTAGTTAAGGAACACCAGTGGAAAAACTCATTTTTCTCAAACTGTGAAAACTCTTACAACCCAATTTTTTTTCAATGATTCCCTTTAGTGTTTCTCTTCATTCTGCTACAGATAAACCTAACCCAAAAATGCCTCTAAACCTGTTTTCCAGAAATGGGGAAACACTGTGTGGACGTGGGCAAGTCCACACTTCGTCGCTGCTACCTACATTATGTGGACGTCTTTTGTTCGGAAGTCCACACTGCGTATGTAAGACAAGCTCACACCCACACACACACACACCCACACACCCACCCACGGAAGGACAAGACGGAAACAGTATGCCCCTTCGGCTTCGCCGCGGTGCATAATAATAATAATAATACTAATTTGGGAGGCTAATCATCCTTACTCGCAGCTGGTATGCTGAATTGCGAAGGATGCGGCTGCAACGTGGTCGGGCCACTGGTACGTAAAGGTGCCTATGGCTGCTGGCCACATCAACCCATATATGACCACGGAGCACAGCCTGAGATCGAAAGTGTTTGATTTTTCCGGGGGGAGGAAAACCGGAGGGCCCGGAGAAAAACCCTTGTGACATAGGAGAGAACCAACGTACAACTCTACTCACATGTGATCCACGGCCAGTATTCGAACCGTGGTCACCTTGGTGAGAGGCGAGCGCTTTACGCACAAACCACCCATGCCACCCACAATAAGTGTACCACATTGCTTTAATCTAGCGTGTCACAATTTTGTTTCCTTATGCCACTGGACTAATAGTGGAGCACGGTCGAATAAATTGAACTTGGGTGGTTTCATTGGGGTTTTTTTTGGGAGGGGGGTGTTAAGAGAGGGGGTGTTGGGGGGTGAGAATTAGGACAAAATTCAGGGGCGAAGTTCAGTTCTAATTTTAAGAATAGCTGCACACACAACTACCTTCATTGACAGCAATATTTCCTATTTTCACTGATGGGCATACAGTATGTGACTGTGCCAGAGCACAAATGTATAGTATACTGTAAATTGCACCCTCTCCCACAATAAACTAACACAACCTCAGTCAATGAAGAAAGAAAACTGTTTAATAATCATACATCACAAACCTGTGAAATAATGCGCTCCAGTGGAAATCCAGTTGTATGCTGCTGAACCAACTGTTTGGATGCTTGGTTGATGGTTTGATCAGGAAAATGATTAATTGGCCAGACCTAGTAAATGTAAGTCAACAAAAACAAGCTCATATTATAAGCCTCATCAATAGTGGCTACAAAAATAAGAAGAAGAAAAAATATTGAATACATGTATAAGCTTCCTCCTTCATTCCCCTGAAAATATGGTTGATTCAATTTTCAATTCTTATTTTTGATATACAAACTTTCCAAAAGTGGTACAAAAGGAAAATACTACTTCGGATCATACATGTAAGACCTCCTTGAAATATAGGTCTCCATGCACAACTGAAATTTTTATGAGCCAAGATTGGGTTAATTTTTGCTTGGTGCTGAAACAGAAACTCAGGACAATAAATTATCTACAACTGCTTAAAAACAAGGATAGATAAGATTCACCTTTAATGAAACAAGCATTAATAGACAGGGAACTGCACGCGGCGCTGCACGTGACCGCATCAAAATCGAAAAATATGCACTGATCACACAGGTATAAAATGCATTTCTGTGCAAAATGAAAGACAATTTTGGCAAAAAGACGCATGATATGATAAATAAGAAATGTTGGATCCATGTAATGACAACTAATGTGCATTCAGTAGTGGCTTTCCACATTACAATTTTTCAATTCATCGTACATGTATATGAATTCATCGTAAATGAATGTTGTATATGGCCAGCTCTGATATCCTAAAAGGCCAAGTGAATCAGTGACCCCTTCAAGTAGGCTGGGCATGGGAAATCCACCCACATGCTAATCACGTTCGAAGATCCAATCCCGTTCAAGGGCGGATCCAAAACGAAACCAATTTTTTTTTTTTTTGGATGTGACATCACAATAAAGGCAGGCAATGAGTACACCACCATCTTTTCCTAAAAAAAAAAATGGTTAAAGTGGTCAGAAATTGCCTCAGATCGCACCACAGAGCATATAGAATCCAAAAACCCCACGCCGTAATTTTTTTGACCCACTTTTTGGGGGGACCAAAATTTTTTTTGGCCCCCCCCCCAAAAAAAATTGTGTTCTGGATCCGCCCTTGATCCCGTTACTGATGATCCGGCCCAGGTCATGCCCCGCTTTCGTTCCAACCAATAAACATTGACCGCTAGTGGAAAGTTTTGGGGCGGAGCATAGGTGGTCCATTCATCATCCATCAAACGGCTGTTTATGGACATGTTCGGAAACCTGGTACACTAAACTTTCCATTGGAGTGAAATTCATATGTGTTAAAAAATAGCTGTCTGCTTTGGAGGATTGTGGTGAGATTTTCAGGGAGCGGCGTACCATGGGTATGCGTTGAGTCTTTTAACCATGTGATGGTCCTACGCAGAACTGAACACTACTTAATACATGTATGCATGATATACATACAATTATTTTGCATCGCACAATGTGCGATTTATTTTGGAAAATGCGTAGCACTTTGTGCATATTTGCGTCGCAAAATGAGATGCGATACCGGGAAATCGAACGCTGACCACATCTATCAATGTCAGTCAAGGCATGGCACCCTCAGTTAACATACCTACCACAGCCTGTCAATTGTACCAATATGAGGCCAGTTCACAGACCTATTAAAGCCTGTCACCGGATAGATTCTGACGTTTAGCTCATCAATACTGAGGTTTAGAAAAAAACTACTTCTAAAATATATGCAAATATACCATTCCAAAACAATTTTCAGGTATCACCCCTTCTAAATGTGCTTTGTATCGCCAATAGACGTGCCAAATTTGGTGCTTTGGACCAGTCTCACGATTCGACCCATAAGCCACCTGTCTATTTCTAGCTTTAAGCTAGGAATCACTGTGACTATTAATTGAGGTAAATGCAGAGTAGAGGTTTTGATTTGTTTCCCTTTGGTGGAAATTTCATTATAAGTAATCACATTTTGTGTGCATGTACACTGGCAATGCATTTGTACAAATTGTAGGTATTGGCGGGAGTATTTTCTTAGAAACTATAGAAAATCCCAGCAGATTTGTGGAGAATTCTTAATAGTTGCTACCTGGCAACTTTTTTGGAATTTAACTTGGCATGGGATTACCACATTTTATAACTTCCCATATAGAAAATACATTAGCATTCATCCCAAAAAAGAACTTCGAGTCATTTTCCAGTTGTTGAGATGTACATTTCTTTTGTGAGGAGGTGTACATTTCATAGTGAGGAGGTACACGAAAGATAATCTATGACCCTTAAAATGGTTCCCTTGTAACATACAGGAAGTTCATGTAAAACAAGTCAGGTGTGGTAACAGACACAAATGCCCCGCAACCGTGACTGTTCCCATGACATGACTTCACTCATTTAACATCAACTTACATGTACCTGGGTCACATGGAACGTTCATTGACATCATAATTGTTTTCTGTAGGATATATGAATTAATCCCAATGATCTCAGAATAGATATAACGTATTTCCTTGCTTTTCTGTTGGGAAGTCATTGTATGTGACTTAAAAGTGTGAGTGAATGTGAAGAGATCTTGTACAAACAAGCTGAATTTAAAAAAAAAACAGCTCAGGCCTTCATTTTTAGAAATTCGTGGAGCTCAGTTAATCGCTCTCCTGGGAAATCCGAGGAGCTCAATTTGAGCACCCAAAATTGCTCTCCTGGGAAGTCCGAGGAGCTCAATTTGCATGTTTGTGCTCAAAGTAAAAAATGAATCCAAATCATTTCCTGAAGCCTTTCATATCATGCACACACACTTGCATCAGAACTGAGAAACAGATGCGACTGTTCACTACAAATTGAGTGCTTAATTCATGTCAATTTATTAGGTTTAAGTTTTACTTGTTTGTGAATCATCCTGATGTGGAATTGGAAATAAAAATGAAAAACAAATTGGAGTTGACTTGTGGTTCTTTAGTGGGTTTTTTGTGTTCTATTTTACTTCGTTTTTATTATATTCACTTTATTTTATTTTTATTTTTTGTTTTATTTATTGTTTATTTCAGTTTTTATTTATTGATTTTTTTTTTATCAAATAGTTTGTTTTGGTTTACTAACTTTACTAAAATTTGTTTTTGTTTAAATTTGCATATGTATCATGTGGTGTAACTGTGTTTTTGAGGGGTTCTAAATTTATATCCAAATTGATGAATAGAGCCCCCCCCCCAAAAAAAATCCAATTAATTTAAGTCCGGTCATACATCTGTCAAAGAAATACTTTTTTTGTCACATAAATCCTCAAAATTAGTAAAATAGAAAAGGAAAATAATTATATGAATATTTGGTTTTGGGCACAAAAAATAAAAGGATCGAAAGTAAGGTCACAGAAATGTACAAGTATTAAACGCCATTACAAAATGTCGAATGGTACTACACACAAACAATGTCACCGTGCACGGGTGGCCAGTTGACCGCCGCGCTTGCGGGCATAGCCCGGTAGTCGACACACGGAAAATCGCTCTGCACTCTATCGTTGTGGGACAAATGAGCTCAACCTTTCGTAAGGTATTTCCAACCCAAACTTGTCAAAAATGAACGCTAGTTTCTTGTAGATGTACCGGAGATCATTCAAAATGCCGTTCAAAAACTCTGGCTCCCTTTGGAATATCACAACTTCCAGAAAAACGATGTAATTTCACACTGTTAATTGTCTGGCTGCACAGTATTAGATCGCGCACAAGTACAAGTAGGCCTACGCGTACTATGCGTGGGATCGGGACGGGAAACCGTCGCGATCGCCCGGCACCACACTCAACACGTGTGATTGGGCCACGTCCATTTTATCGAAAAATAGGGGTGTTGGTATTACAAAGTAGGTGGTTTTAATTGCTCGGCCCATCCATTTCATAATTGTTTTGTGTTTTCACTTCATCGGAGGTTTATTTATTTAGTTTTACATTATAAATATTTATAAACTAATTTATAAACTGATCTCAACCGAAATTATTATTTCATTTTATTCACTTAATGGCGGTGCACGTCTGAATGACGATCCTGCCATACCAGTAACTGGTACCCTGCCTTGATCATAATGGAACGTGCTAAATGTCGTTGATGAAAAGAAAATGGCTAATGTGTCCATGTACATGATGTATGGGATGGGCTCGAGTAACTGCGATGTTTACAAAATCCTTGCGATGATTATGGGTGGATTTTACGTAGGTATTCGACTTACTTTTGTTGATTTTTTTCACAACAAAATCGTTCAAACATCGGGATGACAAGTTAAGAAATCAAGTATATAAAATTTGGATTGACAAGATTTTACTGTTGGCTTTATGTAGACAAAAACTGGAGTCGACAATTAATAAGCTTACAAATTTACCCAGGAGCGCTATTATTCGCGCGCCAGAAACCGTGTTAAGGAGCGCGAAGGAGCGCGATCGCGCTCGCGCTCCTTAAAAATGAGCTGTACATAAAACAAAATAAAGGATCCCATTTCAATTTGATACTGAACAAGATTTAAGATAGGCTTCTTACGGTTACCAAGAACAATCCCCAAACCAAATCTGAAGTTCATACGTAAAGTATTTCTCAAGTTATCGTGCTGACAAGATTTCTATTGTTTTAGCCACTGTTACCTTGACCTTTAACCTTTTGGCCCCAAATGCAATAGGCTTCTTAGGATTACCAAGAGCAATCCACAAACCAAATTTGAAGTCCACATATATGAAGTATTTCTCAAGGTATCGCCCTGAAAATATTTCTATTGTTTTAGCCAATCTGACCTTGACCCTTGGCCTTTCGGCTCTAAATGCAATAGGCTTCTTAGGGTTACAAGAGCAATCCATTGACCAAATGTGAGGTTCATATGTTACGTATTTCTCAAGTTATCATGCTGACAAGATTTATATGGTTTTAGCCACTCTGACCTTGACCCTTGACCTGAGTTCGAGTCCCACCCGAAATGCAATAGGCTTCTTAGGACTACCAGGAGTGATCCACAAACAAAATTTGATGTTCATATGTTAAGTCAAGTTATCCCGCTGACAATATATGTCAGTGCAGGGCAAAACCTAGTTGTATGAAGATTTCTATTGTTTTAGCCACTGTGACCTTGACCCTCAACTTTTCAGCCCCAAATCCAATAGGCTTCTTACGATTACCAAGAACAATCCACAAACTAAATTTGAAGTTCATACGTAAAGTAATTCTCAAGTTATTGTGCTGACAAGATTTCTATTGTTTTAGCCTCTGTGACCTTGACTTTTAACCTTTCGGCCCCAAGTTAGGCAAGTTATTCGAGCTATTCGAGCTGACAAGATTTATACATTGGTGCAGGGCAAAACCTAGTTGGATGAAAATTTCTATTGTTTTAGCCACTGTGACCTTGACCCTTGACTTTTCGGCCCTAAATGCAATAAGCTTCTTAGGATTACCTAAAACAATCCACAAACCAAATTTGAAGTTTATATGTTAAGTATTTTTCAAGTTATCGCGCTGACAAGATTTCTCCGGACACACACCAAACCCACCCACCCACCCACAGGAGGACAAGGCGGAAACAGTATGGCCCTTTGGCTTCGCCGCGGGGCATAAAAGACTAACTTTTTTGATGGTAGATGTTACATTACAGGAACCTGAGTGCAGGCGAAGACTTGAATCCACGTTTAGTCTTTGATTATTACAACTCCGCTTTCAATGATATATGATATGTATTTGTAAGGGTTTTATACCAAACATTTATTGAGGTTTTAACCATCACTGATTGTTTGCAGTTCTTACAAGACACGCATGCTTACCCTTGGTTGTTCCTCAGTGAAAGCAACTTCTCCTGTGACACCTCGGATCAGCTCATCAGGCAGAGAGGTTCTCTCCACAATACTATCACTCAAATGGTTGAACCTACCATTTATCAGAAAATACATTCAAGTGTACATGTCATTGTCTTTCTTTTGTAAAGAAAAATAATCAAATTCCATCTTATAAAAACTTTGGTTGTGGTACCTGCTGCTACATCAGACTCGAACCGACCGGCTGACCCCAACAAGCTAGGTGGTTCAGAGGTAAGACGTCTGCACTAGTAGGCAGGAGGTCATGAGTTCGAGTCCCACCCGAGTAAGCTTGTTGAGATTTTTGCAAGCCCTTGGACAACACTGAATATAACCATCCACAACCAAGAAGTATTAAAATACCTATAAGCATGTTTGTAACTCCACTGGTGCATGTAACACCCCCCCCCCCTGCAAAGAGCTATGTTTGGTGGTTTATGTGGGTAGCCACTGAAATTTGATCAATCAATACTTTTTTTTCTAGACAATCTTTAAGGGATAACAAATGACAACTAGTTTTTGATACTGCCTGTGAGAAGAAACTGGTTGGTTTATCAATTAAATGTCTAGAACCAGGCCAAAAGAGATCGATGAAGTCACACTATTTTTTCAATATGAACAGGCACAAAAAAGGTACTGTTGTCTGTCACTCCCTGCAATCAAAAATTCTAAGGCATCAGATTATGTAATGTCGAGTCATACATTTATATAATGCACTGTAGGCCAATACTTACCACTCAATGGTGAGCTTGATGAAAACTTTCAGGTTTCCAGCTCCAGCACAACTGCCACAAGTCACTTGTCCATGGCCATGACATGTTTTACATCTATATGTATCAAATACAAATTAAATAGCACCAATTGGTAAGTACCATATCGTAAATATAAATATATTGTAAGACATTATGTCAGAATATTCAATCATTAACTACACATTTTCAATGACAGACTAACTTGATACATGTAAAAGCACAAAGGCACTTCTTGTAAAAGATTCCTCTCCAGTGTCACATGATACGAGGTCATGTAGGAATGACTTACATGTATGTATGAAGAGTTTCTCTTGGAAAAACACTTCTAATGAGGGGCACCCTTGTGCATAGTAGACTATTCACAAAGGCAAAAGACTAGAGAAATGTATGCAAAGACAACTTTTAGCACTTTCTAGAACCACCATACTTTACTAATCACTACACTGCAAAATGAAATATGAAGTATCTTACAATGGATACATCATGGAGGAAGGAACATCCTCCATGTTCCTTCCTCCATGGATAAATGAACATGTATTTGTATCATTCAGGAAAGAATGTGACATGCTGTCAAAATCAGATACTTCTTGGCAGCTTGGCAAAAATAAGTTTTGTACTGTACAAATAAAGATCTTACCCCTTTGAAATAACAATTTAAAACTTTCACATTATATTTTAGACACATTTTTTATCGGGTCATTCTATAGACTTATCTGGTGACTGCCGTTTTCTGAGGTAGTGCCAGGCTTGCACGAGTCATGCTCAGGTAGTACGCACCCACTGGTCGGCTCCCCCGACCAATAGAGAATACCAAAATGCAAGCACACATTACCTTTAGGAATGCCTGCAGCATGCTTGCGGATGTGGTTCCACCTCCAAAATAGCTTCTAATTTTGTTTGTCGGATTAATCTATGAATTTGGGGTCCACTTTTCCTGTCCCTGTTACATCTGGCACCTATGATGTTATAATTCTGATGCACTCCTTAATGCAGTCATCCTCCAAGAGAGATCATATATTGCAAACTACTTACCCAACATATAACAAAATCATTTAAAGTTATTCTTAATGATACTTCCATGGCAATTGCAAAGTACCAAAGTAACAGGGACAGGAAAATAGGACACCTAGAACCTTAATTTATAGAATGAAACGCACTTGGTAATGGGGCGTGGAACATTTTTATTTGAAATTGTCAAACTCAGTTGTAAAGATTTTAATGAAAAAAAAACAGTTAAATATGAAATTCAAACTTGTTATACTTTTAAGCATTTATTAATTTGAACAAATGCAATATAAATGATGACATCACGATAACGTCACAACTTATTTCACATCTTTGGATATGGGTTCATGTTTGTAAAAGGTTTCATCTTTATCCCTTGAACCATTTGAATGAAATTACGTCTGTCTTAAAGGGAAAATACAACATTTGCAAACATCAAAAAATAAAACTACCAAATGATTTTGAATAACCTTGCTGGACTGTTAGTGAATGACAGTGTAAAGCATCCTGTAAAATCATGGCAACTGGTATACTGTCATTTTCAAGAAAAGTGCTATTTTTGTATCAATTTCCAACGCTGATCGGCCGATCAGCGTTGGAAACAACTGGCTTTTTTTCAAATACTGGCCCCAATTGACCATCGCACTTGTTTGCAATCGATTACACACCTATGAACGGGTACAAGCCAGCTAGACTGGTTCCCTGACCTTACAATTCCCCAATGTATGTAAACTGCTCTGTTTCTTCTTATATGGAGTCAGGGAACCAGACTACAGGAAAATGATTGTTTTCTTGGTTTTTATAGCATTTTCGAACCCAAAACCTCAAAAAAGTCAGTGTAACTATATTTGCTATATATTTCCAACCCCCCAATTCCATCCATTTCTGAAAATTACAGCAAAAGCAAATGATGTATATTCCCTTTAATATCAACAATTATTTCGGTATTTTGAATTCGCCAAAACTTGACCATTCTTTAAACCCAGAAGTAAAGGTCAAGTGACTTTACGTACAAATGTTTATCAAGGCATGGTCTTTCAGATAATAACTTATGAACATGATTCTATATTTTGATCATGAGTTATGATTGGAACATAACAGTGACTTTATGAACTAAAATTGCTTGTAATTTGACAGATTATGTCATCACGACTTCACACTTGTATGCACACCTCTGTATCAGGGTTGATGTTCATTCCAAACTTTGAAGTTCATGCACTGTTTGAAAGAAAAGCCGCAGAGAATTATTGTCAAGAAAAAAAATTACACACAAGAACCAAGAAAGAAGACAAAAAACAGCCCCATCACCCAATACAGAAAGGGAAAACATTCATCTCCGCATTGTTTTTTGAGTAGGTAATATCTCCATTTCAAGTGCTGCCCGACAAGTATCTGATTCTGACAGGTAACATCACAAATATATATATACTGGATGGCTTTGAGGGTGATAAAAGTATTATTGCACTTGCTATAACACAGTTGCACTTGTCTACGAACTGTGCAATATTGTTATAGCAAGTGCAATATATTCTTTTATCCCCTGAACAAAGGCATCAAATGTTCTATAATTATTATTTATATCAGGCTGACTTGATCCAAAACATTATTGTTATTTATATTGGACTGACTTGACAAAAAAAACACCACAAATTTCCTGATGGTGCTTTGTAATAATTGCCATCTGCTTTCCTACTTATACATTTACCAAGGTTTAATTTAGAACTTTGACAAAAAACCTGCAGCGTAAACTTTTTCAGCGTCTTAAAATCTTTCCGTAGATTTTTCTCTGCCAAATACACTGGCAGTATATTTACTCTCGTCTTGGTTGCTTTCAAGATATTTCCAGCGTCTTGAGTTTTCAAATTTTCATTTAATTATTCTCTTGCAAATTTTGCACTGCTCGAAGCTACCCATATTTGTTGTTAATAAATAGAGTGTATTATACCCTGTGTGCGCCTGCGCTCTGTTGACTGGTTGAAAACTTTGAGTTTCTACACTCTTTGAGTGTGGGATCCAAAAATGAGCGTTGATACCTTAAAATATTGCGTTGTCATCCAGGGTTTTTTTCCAGAAAGCATACAATATGACGTTGATTTATTTGGACTCTGTGGAAGCTTGATATAAATAATAATTTATCACTGTTTTCTGTAAAGTATACTTTATGTTATGTAACAAGCGCTTACTTCTGATGTCCAGTTCCATGGCACCAGGTGCACTCAACATGGTTGTCATGGTGATGATGTCCATGGTGGTCATCATCATGCAAGAGAGGACTATGAACATGACCACTACCATTACAGTGATGACAATGAATCTACAAACCCAAATTAAATAAAACAAAATTTGAAAACCTTTGTAGAAATCCTTTACATGCTATAGCTGGGAATTAACCAACCAAGACCCACTTTCGTTGCTCTGCTAACCACAGAATTCCACACTTACATGTACAATGACCATTCTGTGCTTACGTGCTGTAAGCACAGAATCCTTATTTATGAGTGAGTGTAAGCCAGAATTCCTCACTAACCTGTGAAATATGCAAGGAGTTTTCTGCTATAGTAAGCAGGGATTTTCTACTTACAGTATACAAAGCCATAATATCGGGCCCAGGATTTAAACCTGTCACCTTCCATGTACATGTACATGTATAATGGAGTCCCCTATGAAGGGTGGCATGGGTGGCTTGTGCATAAAGCGCTCGCCTCTCACCAAGGTGACCACGGTCCGAATCCTGGCCGCGGATTGCATGTGAGTAGAGTTGTGCGTTGGTTCTCTCCTGTGCCAAGAGAGTTTTTCTCCGGGCCCTCCGGTTTTCCTCCCTCCGGAAAAATCAAACACTTTCGATCTCAGGCTGTGCTCCGTGGTCATATATGGGTCGATGTGCCCGGCAGCCATAGGCGCCTTTACGTGCCAGTGGCCCGACCACGTTGTAGCCGCGTCCTTCACAATTCAGCATACCAGCTGCGAGTAAGGTTGATTAGCCTCCCAAATTATTATTATTGTTATTATAAATGCAGCGCACTTTGATATTTCTCCCCGACTTTCCTCATGCACTGTTTTAAAACCTCCTTGTTGACAAACTTCAAATTCATTCAGTTAAATACTGGTACTTAAATTTACTTAAATAATGCTGGCTGTTTTATACCTTTGTGAACTATGTCACGAACAGTGTCATGAAATTTAGTCAAATATTACAAATGTGTGATACGGATACTGTGCTCGGTGTAGGCATGGATGTACAGTGCCCGTTCGGTTTCCTGACGAAAGACTCCCTAACGATGCTTGATTGAATGGTAGAGAAGAGTCTGATTCAACAACAATTTTCCAGCAACATTTTTTGAAAATGAGGATCTGAATTTGGGATTTTAATATTTTAATTTTTTTTACAATTGGGAAGCCCTTTAAATCCTGAAGTTCACTTTTAAAAAATATTGAGGGCGAAACCTTTTATGAATTTGGTAAAAGTGTAAACTACACAGTACCTTTGAGCCTTTGGGGTTATCTTTGACCTTTGCTTTGTATTAAAGGGGTAAAACAATGAACTTTGTCCTAGTTCTCAACCACGATGATGTGCAATATTTGTGAATTGTGTTAGTGTATTGGTGTCGATGAGAACACTACTTAACTTAAGATTCATAAAAGGACTTGGACTCGGCGACAAGGACTCAGACACCAAGGACTCGGACTCAGACTCGGATACCAAGGACTCGGACTCAGACTCGGACTCGGACTCGCATACCAAGGACTCAGACTCAGACTCGGATACCAAGGACTTGGACTCAGACTCGGATACCAAGGCCTCGGACTCAGACTCGGACTCGGACTCGGATACCAAGGACTCGGACTCGGATACCAAGGACTCGGACTCAGACTCGGATACCAAGGACTTGGACTCAGACTGGGATACCAAGGACTCAGACTCGGATACCAAGGACTCAGACTCGGATACCAAGGACTCGGACTCAGACTTGGATACCAAGGACTCGGACTCGGACTCGGATACCAAGGACTCGGACTCAGACTTGGATACCAAGGACTCGGACTCGGACTCGGATACCAAGGACTCGGACTCAGACTCGGATACCAAGGACTTGGACTCAGACTCGGATACCAAGGACTCAGACTCGGCCTCGGACTCGGATACCAAGGACTCGGACTCAGACTCGGATACCAAGGACTTGGACTCAGACTCGGATACCAAGGACTCGGACTCAGACTCGGATACCAAGGACTCGGACTCAGACTCGGATACCAAAGACTCGGACTCAGACTCGGATACCAAGGACTTGGACTCAGACTCGGATACCAAGGACTCAGACTCGGCCTCGGACTCGGATACCAAGGACTCGGACTCAGACTCGGATACCAAGGACTTGGACTCAGACTCGGATACCAAAGACTCGGACTCATACTCGGATACCAAGGACTCGGACTCAGACTCGGATACCAAGGACTCGGATACCAAGGACTCGGACTCAGACTCGGATACCAAGGACTCGGATACCAAGGACTCAGACGGGGTGGGGTGGACTGGACTACAGCACCGATGATCGGTGCTTGATGTACACATTGACATGTACACATTGATTTGGGATCCCAATGATGGAACACTCACTATACAATGTGCATGTGTGGTGTCTGCCGTGTGCGATCAGCCTGACGGGAAAATTCACTAAGCGCTCCATATGCCTCTTTCTTTTATTAAGCGCTGTGTGATTGTTATTTACAAGCTGATAGGAAATTCATTACTCGAATCGTTCATTTTTTAGGCCTTTGAGAACTCAATTTAAGCATTTTTAATGCTTTTTAATGTCTTAAAACTAGTTTCTTCATCTTACGATTTTTAAAGCTTTTTCCGCATCCTTTCTTCAACCTTACAAAGTATGCCTAAATAAATTTCATTTGCTAAAAGCTTTGTCAGATGCAAACAATAATGGCATTTTGTAAAGCTTCTTTGAAAGATTATCTATCATCAAAATAATAAGATCATTTAATATTTAAACTTATTGCTGTCCTAAATCTAGGTAACTCTTCGGTAAGATATTTAGGCCACTCTAGTTACGACAATGCAACAAATGAACTGGAAATCTATGCCATAACATCCCAGCTATACTATAAAAAAAGATATACGTTTTCGCGAGTTTGTTGAACGTTGAACAATAGAGGACAATAGGGCCCTCAATTCCCAAAGGTCCCCAATTTGGTGATAGTGTACAAAACATATGGGAGATCTTCCTAAAAAGCTAGAGTACAAACGAAAGTGGGACAATAGTGGTATATGCTATGTGGACATTCCTTTGTTTTCGTGTAGTTAAGAAAACTCGGTACAAAAAATAACTTTGCTTAAACTGTGAAAACTCTTTCAACCCCAAATTTGTTTTTGATTTCCTTGAATGTTTCTCTTCATTCTGCGACAGATAACCCTAACCCGAAAATGCCTCTAAACCTGTTTTCCAGAGAGGGCGAAACGTTATGTGGACACGGCTTAGGCCACAACGTCAACACAACCTGCATTATGTGAACATCTTTTGTTCACATGTCCACATAGTGACTGTGAGACAACTCACTTGTGTGTGTGTGAGTTTGTTTCTGCATTCAATAGGGGACATCGATCAACAAATGACTCTACAAGGATACAAATTTCAGTTTTGTATGTCCCTCTTTTGTTTGTACTTTGACCTCCCATATGTTTGTATCTATTGTTAATTGTGGACCTTCAGAAATTGGGGACCCTATTGTCCTCTATTGTTCAATGTCTCCTATTGAATGCAGAAAAACAAACTCATACACAGACACACACATGGAATACACTACTGCAAGATCCCCCTTTCTTGGCTTAAAAGCCAAGGGGATAAAAAAAGAAACTTGATTAATGATAAGTACATGTAACTTACATTACCATCTCCATGGCATGAATGGCAACGTTTGCGTCCAATACCCACGCAGTCATGGCAAGGCTATAAAGAAATGTCATATGCATACATGTACATACATAGTGATGAAGCAAATTCATTGTGGAGGAAATCACTAAGGGTTCAGATTTACCCTGAAATAAGAGAAATGTTAAGTTTGCAATATTTGCTGTGAAAGTTTTTGACATTTTCATTCAAGTTATTGTGCCCAGGACATTAAGTTTCCTTAGCTACACATGTATGTTCACAACTGCTTTCTACTAAGATTGTTATTCTCCATAATTTATTAGTAATGGGCTTTTCCATAAATAGGGGTCCAAAGTGGGACACTGTTATATACAGGGTGAGACAAAAAAAGAAAAGCCAAAGTTCTGTATGTAGCACTTACGAAATTTAAGATATCAAAGCCCAATTAATAAGCTTTCTTTTAGTAAAAGAATCATTCAAATCACTCATGTACTTTTCAAGTTACAGAATTTTAAACACAAAGACCGTTTTAAGTTCTGTCCGAGGATCACAAAAAAGGTAAGTGTTCTTTCAGCAAAACAAAAACAATTCACATAGGGAATTTTGCTGAAAGAACACTTACCTTATTTGTGATCCGTGGACAGAACTTTACAACGATGTTTGTGTTCAAAATTCCGCAACTTGAAAAGTACATGAGTGATTTGAATGATTCCTTTTTCAATATGGAGGTATCCTGAATCTGCCGAAATACTCCAAAACAGGGGTATGGATTTTGATGGATTCAGGATGGTTAGGGATAAACATAAATTTTTCATTTTCTGACTTGATTTTCTCTTTACATGTCGAAAAAAAATGGTTCACCATGTAACAGGAACATCGACATGGTACGTGTGAAATTTGTGACTTATCTGTGCCATTACTTATGTTGGTTTTCATTAAATATGCTTAAAGTTCATATATCTTATAAAGCAATAAAGATACCTGTGTACGAACATTTGAATTTTCAAAGACAGGCTTAAGAAATATAAGCCTATCACAAACAAGTTGCTAGAATCACATGTAACAGGGACACCATGGTGTCCTCCCAAATGTCCTTTACAGTGTGAAGCAAAATATACTTTTGTGCAATATATCTGTTAGTCTGAGAAATATCCGTTATCCACGGAGCCAAATCTCCTGTATCACGTCTGATCTAAACATCCAGATATATGCAAGCAGCTTGCCAGCCAATCAGAGTCGACTTTACTAAATCGCAGTGTTGTAGTCAAGTACGTTTTGCCGAGTACCGAGTACTGCCGAGTACCTAGGTTGCCTAGTAGGAATACGAGTACTTGTGCTTACGAGTACAAGAACAGGTCTCCGAGTACGAGTACTTGAACATCCGAGTACGAGTACTGGTGCTTACAAGTACGAGTACTTGTATTTACGAATATACATTGTGCTTGAAGCCTAAAATTATGTGTTCTGTGATAATTGTGCTTGAAGCCTAAAATTATGTGCTCTGTTAATCACTTGTGATACAAACTAGGGTTCATCTTTGTAAGCTTTTTCAATTAATTTGTTTTTTTAAATCGGCAACAGCAGTCTCTGTCAAATCAATGTAAATGTATTTTCCAAGGAAATGCTACACAGCTGAGTTACAGACGTGGAAGTTTAGGTCACCTGTCATTTAATAAAATTATTTGTATTTGGCTTTTCTGCATAGTTGCGGAAAAGCCTTTCTTTTTGTTAAGATTTCTCTTTCTGAATCTTCTTCTTTTTGTCGCCTGAACCCCATAGACTTTGTACATGTTTTTTCTCAACGCCACTTTTGGCATTAATCTTTGTCGTACATCATTCAAAGTCAGCATAGGCATAGTCCTTATGGCATAGTTGCGTCCCGAAGAGTGACGTCATCATTACGTCATCATGGGTCACATGACGTCACGTTAAAGATTAATAGACTTAATCTTTGAAAATCAGTATAAAATTAGCCGTGAGAGACCCGAATTTGACGTTTGCGGGAATTGATAGAATAATCCAGGATCTTCACTTTATCTCGTGTGAGCAGAATCACGTGACCCTTCCTTCCAGTCTAAGCCGGAAGTAACTCGAATTACCTTATAATTTAAAATTGGAAAAAGGTGCGAATTAGCTTGCAACGGTGTTAGTCTGTGGCTAGGTTGCACTTTTTAAAAAATTTACCAGTGACGTCATAACTTGTTAGATCGCCCTCTAGTAGCAGTTTGAAAAAAGTGTAAAATGAATTTTCAGTAGATGTCTGTGGCGAAGTTAGCGGTAATCACTTCAAAATTGGTTTATATGAGTTAGGCATCTCTGTTTTCACAAAATACACATTTACAAAAGTAGCAGGTCTCCAAGACGGCGTGGTAAGTGGAAAGCAAACGTTTTTGTCTGAATGATATAAACTATGTGGACTCTCAGTGTTTTTGGCAGAATTTTGTTCCCTCAAAGTTGGGGTGTGATTTTGAGGATGAGCTTTTTTTCAGTTCCTTCGCTATGACTGGACTAGATTATGAAAAAACTTATCCCATACATCGATGAAGGAAGCAGCTTTCGTCACGGTGTGGCGACATGTTAGTTGTTTGTCTGCCATGTCTTTCGGTTTGTACGCGGAGCGTGTACAGTAAATCATCATGCACATGAGCACATTTTGGGGGGCTTCGGGGCACATTTTTAGGTGGCTGATTTTTTCATGTCATGCATGTTAAATTCCTGTTGTTATGCACATTTTGTTCATATTTATAGAAATGTGTTTACATGTATTTACAATTTTTCATTTTCTTAATAGATGGGACAGTATGTACAGCTTCCTAGCTACGGTATTTACTCCCGAATCCTAGTTTTAGCGAGCTATCTATGAATGTCTGCTTTTCGTGAAGACAGTTGGTTTAGTTTTGGAAAATTCACTGGAAAACTAGACAACATACGGTGCATTTAGGCTGTACAACATATGTACACTGTACTTTGTGCTTTCGGTCATACAAAGAAAAACTTACTTGTCATATTTTCTTTCACTATCAATACAGGAACATGTCCCAGCCAGTTAAATGCCTCGGTCCTCAGATGCCGTTGACAGTTTCATTGCCTCCAACATGAGAATATTTCTTGAGACTCGGATTCATGCAGCATTAAATTCCAGTGTGCTCAATTTATGATTTTTGTATTTCAGTGAAAAGGCTGGTTCATACTTTTAATAGCCAATGGAAAACGATTCTGATGTCATGAAACATTCGCTTCAAAATTCTCCGGAATTGGACCGTGCCCAACTTTTTGCAAAATCACAGTGCAAAAACGTGTTGTGACATCAACAATTGCATTTGCATTCGCAAAGTATGAACCGGTCTTTATATGCATTGCGTAGTGCCAACAACATTGACAAGTATCATCTCCAGTTTGTTGTTGCTATGTTTACAAAAATGGTTATGTAAACTCATGCCACAGACATCCACCATGCCAAATAAAGTAACCAAGGATTATCTCAAATTTACCTGTGTACATATAAACATTGTTTCATGTACATAATTATCGTGCTCAGTGACACTATGCCAAAGAATGTGGTTATTGTTATCCTCTTCACTGTAAATTGTTTCAACTGAAAGTGTTAAAACCACCAGATTTTAGCAGTTTTGATTGTGGGGGAGTTGATATTTTTGATGTTGATTTTTATTGATGTTTATTTCTTAGCCAAAGATGGACGTTTGCATACATGTACGGTATGCCAAAGCTCATTAAACTGTTTTTGCCCCTCCTTTGCACTTACTTGCTGATATTTTTCTGGCTCCAAATAGTTGGCATTATTATTACTTTGTGATGTGAGATGTCATGAAAAAAATAAGGAGGGTTTACGTTCTCGAGTAATTTGACTAGTATCAAACTACAGTATGTCTTAAATTTCTTAATTTAGTTGTTAGTTGCAATGTAAGGAATTGTTTTCAAGCCCAAGTTAAATGTAAATGTGAACTGCTTCCATTGAGGCCTGGTGAAATCATTATATAATTATTAGGCATGCACAGTTGATTCATTTGATATAATTGCTGCTTTGGCTTACTGTGCTTCTTAAAGAGTAAGGCAAATATGCTACACACTATTGTGTACCCATGACTTTTAATATTATATCTCAGGTTTTGGGTCCAAGCCCTTGGATCGGACTGGGTCTCGGCTAGCTGTTGAGTGGGTTCTCGGCCTGTTGATTGGTTAATTGGATTCAAGCCATCAACTAGACCAGTTGTGGACCCCAGCGTGTCGTTTGGACCTTACTTCAATGCATGATCCCATCTACAGTTTTCACTTGAATCACAGCTCTTGAACTGGAACTGGTGACCCAGGAAACAGATTATCTTTTGAGGAATTCTTGTCTCTGTCTATTACTAGGAAAGAGTCAGACTGAAACCCAGGGTCATGGTAGATTTGTATTTGTGTTTGCGTGCTCATTTACTCATCGTTTAGTGTTATTTAAGATTTCAGTTTTCAGTTTGTTTGCTAAATGAAACAGGTTAACTCAATATGCATCAATATACAAAATCCGAAATGACATCAACATGACGTCATTAACAAATTTCAAATATTTTATATCTGTTAGCTACTAGATCAACATTACTTTTAATGAACTTTGAACAAACTTTGAACAAACAATATCATTAACATGACAGCACATTGGCAAATAAAGGATAAAGTCGTACAGAAAAATATAAGCGCAAAAGCCCTATGTTCTATTTTTAAACAGACATAGACCTCTAGTTATTATTATTATAATTCACGTATTTTCGGGTCCTTGGATTCCTCAGACTAAAACAAAAAAGAAAGTACAATAAGCACTCAAATGGCTGCAAAAAGATTTCTTCATGCGAAGCTGAAATGCGCACCGAGTAATTACGGGATGCCACACATAATTATTAGCGATGCACATGGTGCTCTTTGCGCGTAAACGGTGTTGCGTTCGTCACGTTTTCGCGCATTATTTGTATCTCTCCTCCAGCACGTGACCCTCCATGCAAGTCCAGCCAGTACATGTGTGTACATGTTGTGACAGACTTGGCAGGGCTAGTGCCAGCAGTATTTACTTGACCACAAACATTGCAAAAGAGTTAAACTGTTGAGATCCTGAATCCATCAAAGTCCCCCAATAGCTCAAAATGGAGGTATCCTGAATCCATCAAAATCCGCCAGTTCCGCTAGGCTTCGAATCCTGAGTCCATCAAAATCCCCCAGTTTGTTCAATATGGAGGTATCCTGAATCCGCCGAAATCCCCCGAAACAGGGGGGTGGATTTTGATGGATTTAGGTACGTTAGGGTTAAAGGTCCTACCTTGACAGATGCAGTATGAGGCACTTCTACAGCAGTTTTGTGGTTCTTGAATTTAGCAGGGGGGTTGCACTGCATATCCCATGGCCCAGGTGCAGGTCCATTGGCGGGCCCATCAACCATTTGCCCTGATGAAAACAAAGGAAATGTCCAGCACTCTCAGCAAAACTTATTAAATCATAAAAGAAACATACTTTTTGTTAATTGACTTTCATACATTACAAAAGTGTCACACATAAGTGTGAAATGTGGAACACATACTCTGACATTTTTGTATTTTACAGCACGATTTCAAAAACATTGACATCATCAAATCTAGTCATTGTTTACCTTTGAAAGGTTCTGAAGCCCATGCAGTTGTCCGCTTTTCTGTGAAAGTTTCCAACTTGTACTTTAAAGATGGAAGGGGAAAACAAGGAAGAAAACAGATACACATGTAAAGTGTTGACCTGGGGAATATACCAATTGATCAAGTTCATCCCCATGATGTTGTGACCAATCACAGCCATGATTGATGTCTGCGCAAATGTCCAACATGCGTGCACTCACATGTGAAACCTTGTCTTGAACAATGAGCAGGGATTAATGGGATCAGCACACTTCAGGTGGCAAACCAATCCAGCCATGCCAAAGTTAAGTTGACTGCAGTCGGTTTAATACAAGAAACAAGGTAAACTTTTTTTTCTATCAGGGTTATTTAAATTATACTTCAGAGCCACATATTTATCTTCAGCCTACCCTGGTATTATATTCTGGCAGCCAATAATTTGAAATTGTAAAATAATTCAATAACTAAACATTGGCCGATTTTCTTTGGTAGATATGCGTATCTCATTCAAAAATGAATAACTTTTGTATTGCTAGAAAAGTAGCAAATTTAGGAAAAGAATTGTTTTCTTGGGATGAAACTCAAAAGCAAGGGGAATGCAAATTTAAAATCTACAAAGCACCAAACAAGGACAGAAATGAAGCATACGCACACACACATGTACATGAACAGCGCCCTCAAACATCAAATGATGCTGCCTATTCGGTTCACCCACAGCCAGCGATTTATTACTACATGTATGCTATTGGTGACTGCAAAACATTCAATTATCAAACATACCTGTATACAAGCATACTTACATGGAAGGCACTTGAATGACTGATATCATTGAAGACCATTTCTTGAGCAGCCTTTTTACCATAACAGCAATTCTCAGCCACATGACTAAGCAGGGCCTCCCTTGCCTGTTCCACTGTCACGGTGGGCATACTGTTAAGTAATGCAGTAAAGACTAAAATAGGAGGAGGATCATTCACTTTATCCTGTCAAATCTATCAATTCTACCAGTAGGAAGGTTGGAGGAGGGATGGGCATGATAAATAACACCAGCACAAATAGAAATCTAATCCCTGGAGTGTAAATCATGCATCACAGAGAGTGTGAAATAATGGTCGGAAATGGAATAATTACCAGCCACATGCCAAGCTCGTCTATTTTGTACTGTTCATGTACGTGTATGCACTTATTAAAGTGCATCCATGTATGACAGCCTAAATAAATCTGCATCGTACACTCAAGAAATATTGAGTAGCCACTATTTAACAATTGTTGACTGCTGCAATGTGGGTAACTTTTGTTTATCAAAAGTGGCTTTGATGTGTAAGTGAAACCAAGTAAGAGAAGAAGAAATCTGTAAACCTTTCATGGCTATTGGATGCAGCACTCAATGTGAAACTATTATCATGCTATCACCACTAATGGGTTTTCATTCAATTTGCCTGGCTCATTAGATAAAAATTGAAAAATCACGTAGATCGACATTCGACAATCAAAACGAATCATTCAATTTCACTATCCGAGCATTTTATCGTCTTTTAGCTTCACTCGTCCCTGTAAAAGATGCATTCAAATTAAAACTATCGCGTTGTTCATTAAACTTTGTCCAAACCAGTAGTAAGGGGTTGATTGGGCATTCCTTTTCATTAATGAGCAAACATATTTCACATTTTGTCATCTTGGCATAAATCATATCCAATGTCTTCAATTCGTAATTGCACACCTCGCTTTCTTAATTAAAGGGTTCGTGCAATGAATTTTTCTCAGCACATGCTTGGATCACTACATGTATAGGGGAAATAAATTCTGAAAATTGCATGAAGATACGGTCTTCCAAATAGGAGAAATTAATTTTTAAAGATTTCACCCGCCAACATGAACATGTCTGTGTACATGTAGTTTCATTCAAAATAAAGTGATACATAACCTTTAGAAATCGCCCTTCGCAACCATATGGCTGATAATCCTTTGTTTGTACTACCTTTTTTGCAACAACTCTCATTGGTTTTGTACACGTTTTCCAACCAAGGAGTCCTTGATTCGATTTTTGACCTCGATTCACTGATGATGTTGCACGTGTGTGTCCTCGATTTACACCATAAACAAATGCATACGCACACACAGATACATGTATATGCACAGACGGAAAATGCTGTCGCAATATCCCCCTCCGGCTTACAGCCACTTGGTATAAACATGCGTGCTCTTGTACTGTATCAAGCTTGAGGACAGACAACAAAAGGAGCACAAAGGGACCTTTCATCCTCGGACGACGGTGCCTATTGTCCTCGAATGCCGGTTTGCGCGCTTAGTCTATGGGAAAGGTTATTAAAGGAACAAAGGAAAACATTAAGCCGATCCTCGGAAGCATAGCAAAACACGACTGTCTGCGTGTGTGTGTGTGTGTGTAAACCCCGGCAATCGTGGACTATGGAGGAAAGAATACGAGCATTAACCAAAGGTCCATATTTGACAGCACGTCCACAATTGAAATTTGTGTACAAAACCAATGAGAACTGTTAAAATAGTAAAGGTACAAACAAATGAAGGAAAATTAGTGACAATAGGGGGTCCATGATTGCACAAAGCCGCCTTTCTCCTGTGAACTGGGCGACAAGCTTTGCCTTTGCCCCCCCCCCCCCCAAATACTACAAGAGCAAAGTACAATGCAGGTGTACACGTATATGCCAGTTTATACATTTCCATATCTTCAAACTCCTTTAAAATCAAAGCAATGTACACAAGCACAAATTGAAAATGTAAATATTTGGATTAAAAAGTCGCCCACTTCAAAAGGGCCAAACTTCAATGATTTTGTATAGAGAAGATATACCAATGTACATTGTACCAAAATTTCCTTCACGGTAATACACATGTACACATTTCAAATGGGAACATTTAATTTCTATAGGCGGTAACAGAAAAATACAACCTTGCACAATGATTCCCTTGAATCAAGTTGTTACCATGAGCTTTAACCATACCTGATTGTTACTTCTACATCAATTATCTTTCTCCCGGTATGTTAATGTGGCAAACAAAATTGCAACTGGAAGTGAAATAGTCTTGGGGGAAGTTGAATGGGTTCAGAGGGCACTTTACACTCACTTGGGCAAATCCGAACGCTGTGGTGGTTCCATCATACTTTGATCATAGGAAGGAGGGGCCAGCGGGGCACCAAAATTGCCATAACCAGCAATAGCATCCATATTGTCCGATGGTGGGGCAGTGGCTGCTGCTGGGGGCTAGAATCAAGTAGAAATTATGCACAATAAAACAATGCAATCATACATTCTGTGCCACAATCATTCACTCAAAATCAATCAAGTGACTGTTTTCAACAGTAAAGAGCTCCCAGCCTACATAAAGCAAATATGATCTGACTGTTGGTGACTAGCCTGTGTAAAAGGCATGGCAGGTGAAGAGGATTGTTTTTGTTTTTTTACTGTCTGTGACTGTTCAGATAGCTGGAGGTTAATACATACGATAGTACGTGTAGCAAATGCTAACTATCTTCAGTGCAGTATACCCCATGGCTCCAAATTTTAAAATACAACAAACAATGTTGTATTTTGGTGTTTGCCTTCTAGAGCAGGGATAACATTATGGGCAGATGTACAGTTCTTAGGAAAATGATGTCCAGGATGATGTTTCGAGAATGTTCGAGAGCACCTGTATTTTTAGCAACTTTTCTCAGTTAAATTCAGTTATATATTTTACCAACCAGCAGGGACAAAAATCGGACAAGAGAAGAGCTTTTTTTTAATAATTTTAATCTATTAACAATGTGATGACTATGCATCCAATGCTAAATGCATCCAATCATGCCAATGCTACATGTACAGATGTACATGTACCATACATACACACATGTTCACCAATGTATACCATTTTGTATACGGCTACAGTGCCACAGTTATACCATCTAGTATTATATGTGTATAAATATGATACTGGGTCACTAAAGTGTGACAGGAATCTCAAAAAATTGAGTTCAAAATACAGTAAAATTTCTGTCTTTATTTTAATCTATGATCTGTGTAGGAAGCAATTTAAAAGTATAGAGATAGTTTCTTACCAAAAGTACAGTTTTCATAGTTAATTATTTTCTGAAATTCAAATGTAACGTTCGTAACAAGGTGTCCTGTTTGTGCTATAAACAGCATTTATGAGGTTGGTAACTTGTGATATGTGGTATGCATTGGCATTAGTCAGGGAGCCCAACACTTGAAATATCGACCTATTTGGACCAGGACTTTGGATTATAGAGAAATGACCAACTGATTAATGTACTGAAAGACGCCGTTACAAACGTTACCTAAAATGTACAGAAAACACTTCAAATTTTGCTGTTGGTTAATTTTAGTTACTAAATGTTATATTATTACAATCACTTTGTCATTTGAAGTACAGAAATGTGCTAAAATATTGTACATACCATGTTGGGAGATATTTATTAGACATTAACGGCATAATATCTTAAGTTCGTAACAAAAGACACCAACATCCACAAACTCCCTTAAACCACAGCGACTTATGGAATAGGCTAATAATGAACATTAAAATGAAGATTCTATACAATTGCAAGCTAAGTAATCAAAATGCTTTGTAAAATGTAGCCTACCGGTATTTTACAAATTTCATATTTTGCTGTAACGTATGTAACACGTATCAATTGTGTGGACCCCAAAGTTCAACCATGCGCCTATTCTTAATTCATATTTGAATGTTATGAATTGAGGATAGTACAAGATGTATGCATGGGTAGCTTCACTTCAAATATAGTTTAAAGCGAATTGCTTCCATTTGCTTCACTCTGTGTAGGAGGAAAAATGGAATGTTACGTATGTAACAGTTGGACACCAAAGTGATCTGTGTTCTTAACGTGATTTTTTTGTACATGGAAAGCACATGGAGACGACTTTTTTTTTTTTACAATATGTCATGACTGCTGATGGTTCACAATCACTCCACTTTCAATCAGGACATGTCTGTTTTCAGTTGCTGTTATGCCCATGTTATGTTTGTAACATTTTGGACACCAAATGTTACAACCGTTACAGTTTCCATATTTCCTCATTTTTTTCAGAAATTTCAAGTATTTTCCACGGAACTTCTGGTATTTATAACAAGAAGCTTTTATAGAAAAAAAAATTGGCAAAAAGAAGTAAAATAAATAACATTTTATCAGGAAATATAAAAGTTCTAACCCCTTATGTTGCATGTCACATTTTGGTGTTCATTTTGTGCCCTATTTTCACACTAAATAACTGATCAAAATTAATTCCCACGTCCAGTGGTCATAAAGTTATCTCCTTTATATCTCTCACTCTATATGCACATGAGAAAAAAATAAAAAGACCAAAAGGTAACAAGAAGGTTAATCAATCTGGATCCAATTTTCTCACCCCAAAATCTCAACAGTATTGTATTTATATACATATAACTGACATACAGATCCTTGTCATTTGATTGGTGGAACTCACATCACGTGACATTCGTTATTGCTCCCATTTACGCTGCGGCTCAAAAAGTACTATCCGCCCATGGGGAATGGGAAATACTATTCAACAGTTAGGATCATGGCGGGGTACCGGTATTTGTGTGCAAATGCATGTTGGTGTGCGCGTTCAGTGTGGGGCGTAGCGCGTGTTGTTCCAAAGAGCCAGCGCTACAGCGTTGGGTTCAAATATTTTCGTGAAGGGGTGGTTTGGAATAGAGAAATTTCCTCCAGTTTTGTATTGAAGAAAATAAATTCCAATCAAATGACAAGGATCTATATGTCAGTTAAATAAAACAAATATTGAGTGGCTTTAAAATGTGAAATGGGAGGACTATTATCGCTCGGTAAAATCTTGACTTTTCCAGTTCACTCGGCTTCGCCTCGTGAAATGGAAAAGTCAAGATTTTACCTTGCGCTAATATTCCTCCCATTCCACGCTGAGCCACTCAATATTTGTATACCATGCACTACACAATTTAGTACCTTGATCCAAAGCTCCACTTTTTGACATACCGCTAATTTCAGTTCCCTTGTAAAGTAATGTTGGTACCAGTTGGCCATTGGTATGTTTATATACAAAAATGACCAAGTATAGTCATGGACGTAGTGTTTCTTTTGTAGGTATTTTTAAGCTCTGGCAGGAGCTTCTACATGTCACTTCGTGTTTTGACAGTCTGTCGGTCGGTCAGTTGGTCGGTCGGCCGGCCGTTCAGTCTGTCTCCGGAAAATTGACCAAAAACGGGCTCCCCAGGTTTCCCATAAAACATAACTACCAATTGACCAAATATTTACCAAATGCAATGCCGTTGTCTATTTTGCATATAAAGTGAGACATTCCGGAACCGGGCCAGAGCTTATTGTGCACCGCGCTTGTTTTACTCAACTTCAGCTTCCAATTGACATAAAAAATATTGCCTTAGTCCAGCTTTCTTTGTCATGTTTGTTGGATAAGTATGTCTGAAAGAACAGGTTTAGAATTACTTAGTTGTTTTTTGAGAGGTGTGTCATTTAGTTGTTTGTGGTTAGTAAAAATAATCACATGCACCAGTTGTAAAAATGGCTTCAGCACATGGATAGCAAATACTGCAAAATCGTTGACCAATAAGTTCTGAATTACTCTTGAAGAGTTTGACCAAAAAACGTCTGAATTATCAATAGCCAGGACCCTAACCAAACTTGTATATATGCTCCATCACATTATTATTACATTATTTTGCTGCTTTTCTGTATGTATTTGGAGGTCTTAACAATCGTACTTGTAGTGATACCACGCGGCTATTTCCACTGGCAAAAATGGTGAAATGGCTTTTTATGCATGCTGAAACTACGCAGCACAGACGGTGGTGGCCAGTCCCCTGTAAATAATGGTGTGCATAGTGGTGTGTACCGGTACGACTTAAATGCCCCATTATGTAGAAGTATCGTCGATTTCAAAAAAATGCTTTATTGAAGGCATTTTTTTTTTCCATTTTGGGCGCCAATTTTGATAGCTATTGACTGGTGCAAATTAATTCGGCCGAAAATACTCGTATGTGCAGCATAATAATTTGCCTCCCCCCCCCAAAAAAAATAACAGAGCAACCGACCCTTTTTTTGCAGATATATTTTTGACCTTATTGTAAATAAATCACTGGTAAATTTGTTTCTTAATCACTTTTTTTAAATACAATATGCAATAAATGTACATTTTCTTAGATATAAATGCAACTTGACTTCTACACATGTCAATGTTTTTATTAGTAAAATAGTGTTTATATTGGTACATGCTGCTCCTGGGTGGAACTTTGCAGCACAAAGGCTTTAGGCCTAATACATGAACATTTCGGTATTTGAACATGGTACTGTTGTGCACATACAAAAAAAGTGTTGATTTAAGTTCTTCTTTTTTTCGGGGAGGGGGGGGAGGGACGGGTCTTGAGTAGTAGTCTCTGTTCTGTGAAAATGTTGAAAAATTTGGATGGCTGTAAGTACCTGTGTTGCTGAAGTGTTTATTCCACCGCTTTGCCCCTGGGGCTGAGGATATCCACCACCTTGCCCCTGGGGTTGTGGATATCCACCACCTTGCCCCTGGGGCTGTGGATATCCTTGAGGTGCCCCTCCCTGTTGATACCCCCCTGACTGTGGCGGGTAACTGCCTTGTGGCTGCTGCATCTTAGAGAGCTCTAAAGATGAAATAAAAGTGTGACGTTAATACATGTATCTAACAACTGGCAATTAAAAATGGCAATTGTAAAGGATCTACAAAAAGATGGTGACCAGTACTACCATGGTACTATACATTGTAAATGTACATGTACATGTAGCTAATTATCTTACTATCTAAAAATAAATGTTACAAAAAAAGTTTGATGACCACTCAATAATACATACACATACAAAATGAAAAGAGAAGACATATGTAATACATTAATAGTTTATTTGATAAACCTCAAACTTGTTTACCAACGTGAACTCTGTGCAGGTATGGTAGAACACACTTGATGTACAGAACACACTAGATGCACACACTGGTTTGTACATGTATGGTGCAAAGTACCGTTACATGTACATGAATGCAGACAAAAATATTTATCTGAATGTACACAAACCTGCAGTGTTTTCACATGGTTCCTGGCACATACATGTACGGTAGTACTAAAGTAGCCATCTTTAATTGTGCGTAGAATCTACGCATGTACATGTATATTACTGAGAAAGAACAACCTGCTTCCATTTTACAATGGGTGTGCTTATGTTGTCTAGGGCATTTTTGACAATTTGAACAAGCACATCTGGTGAAGGTTACGTGGGGACCAAAAATATAAAATTTGGTGGCTACATGAAGGAATGAAGGAATAGAAAAGAAAAGTAATTTGAGTAAAGTTGAACAAAGAAATGACTGGAGTGAGGTTTGAACCTGAGTCATTCCATGCCAATTCAACGGGCCATGGCACCATAAGTCACAGATTTTGTTCAAACTTGGTGAAAAGGTTTTGTTACATGTAGTTGTTCTATAGATGAGGTCGAAAGCAAAAATTCAAATTGCTTTCCGTTGAGGTGTTACAGTAGCACAAAGTTTAATGAACTTTGCCTAAAAAGGGGAAACTGACTGGCCCATAGAATAAATCGTTGACTTTAAGGACCCATATCTTGAGATTGAAATTGATTTGGAAGCTGCATTTGGATACATGGGTACAACTACTGTAGTAGAGCAGGAGTAAAGGAAAATTGTACCCTTCATTCTTTACACCTTAATTTTAGGGGGGGGGGGCGCCAAAAATGATCAGTCATGATACGTCACATGCATTTTTTTTTCAAATATTGAAGACCCCTAATCTTGGAACTTTGCATTAACTTTTTATTTCAATTTTTATGTAATCTCTGACTACTAATATTGACATTTAGGCCTATGCGAAATAAAAGGCAATTGTAGATGTCGTTCCTGATTTGGGTGACCCCCAATATGGCCCCAGCCAAAAATCCGCCTTCAAATTGGCCAAAACAAGGGGGAAATCCCCATGTGGCTCAGGTGATATAATTTTCTAGAAAGAGGGCATCTTCAAGATTTATATTATCGAAAAAAAATTCATGCGTATCTGACATTTTCATGAAAAATCAAAGCTGCAAAAACACCCCCAAATTGGGCGACAATGCAATGTGTGTTAGACTGATGGTCTTTGACATTGGGTTTGGCATACCTCCAGAAACTAAGTCCAATAGTGTGCGTGTACAATTCCCATGTGGGTGTTGGAATTTGCCTGAATGGGTATAATACATACATGGTTCCTAGTAAATTATGCTTCGGAGTTAGGGTTAATAAATTTAATATTCTAAACTCAATAACAAATCACACGTGAGAGACCAGAACTTGAATTGTACGGGAATTGATATGATGATACATGATCTTCATTTATCTTGTGCGCGTCCTATCACGTGACCCTTCCTTCCGATTGAAACCGGAAGTGCCTTATAATTTGAAATTGGAAAAAGATGTGAACTTGCTTTCAATGATGTTAGTCTCTGCCTAGGTTGAACCTTACAAAACAATTATCGGTGACGTTGTGAGATGTTCGAGCGCCTTCTAGCGACAGGTTAGAAAATGTCAAACACGCACTTTCATTGCATGTGTGTGACAAAGTTTGCGGTAATCGCTTCAAAATTAATGTACCATATACAATGACCTTAATGCAGACAAGCCTTGTGCTTGAAAAAAAAATGATTACGTCATCAGACCGGAACTTATATTGAAAAGACACTTTGAAAAATTACTGAAAAATCAACCGCGAGAGGTGTAATCCAGAGTTTTGCTGGAAATAGCACAGTTATTATAGCCCTCAAGCTTTCTGGCAATGACGTCATCAAGTATCGTATTACAACCAACCAAAGATTTCTAGATTTCTAGAAAATCAACATAAAATCAACTGTTAGAAATTTGATTTTTTTTTTTATGGCAATCGATACAATATTGCAGATCTACTATCAAGATCTACTGAACATATTTTTTTTTCCACTTCCGAAACTCCTAATGAAGCAAACCTTGAAAATGTTAAATGGACAGCAAAGCGTGCGGATGTATATCAGGCTGGCGGGGTTTGCACGTCTTACACCAATTTCAGCATGAATAGCATTAATTCAGCATATAATGAACGACATTCACTGTCATGGATTTATCAAAATAAAAGTAGGCCTACCGGTAGGCTATCACTGATCACGTTCAGAACAACCAGGCCTATGAGTTTCACCCTGTACTTTTCATGCTTCTGAGGGTTTTGAACTTGAAGGCCATTTCCTCTTCGTGACTAGCCTATGCTTTAAGTTTGTCGTGGTCACACAAATACAGGCAATTTATTCCAAAACTTACCTAGCTACAAATTCAAGGTAGGGGCCTAGGCTAGGCCTACATGTATGTAACTTACGACGATCATATGCGGCGCAGCTGCTTCGTCTCCTTTATCAGCTTTCCAGGTAAATTTGGTACCTGTGATAAGTTTTGTAGAATTTCTCTTGTACTACACAACCATCTTTCAAACTTCAAATGAATTGGGCACATACCCAGTCTGGAATTTCAAAAAGTTGTACTCTTTAACTTCCCCGTCTCTAATTTTGAAAATTCGCCAACAAATGACTAGTTCGGAAAGCGCGTGTACTTATTCATCCCTTATCCTTACGACCCAACTCACGCGCATTTTTTTTTCTCCAAAATCATTGAAATATATCAGCCACTCTCATTGTTGCCATTGTTAAAAAGTACGTACATGTACATCATGCTACACACAGTACACACGTTTGTTTACTTTGACCGAGCTGATGGCGTTGCCATACCGTTGCTAAGGTGGGCTGGGCTTATGACCAAATTCGGATCTGTCCATTATCTATCATAATAAGTAGCATCCATATATTTATGTGCTATGTATTTTATTAAGTGAAATTTTTTAAAAATTGGGCTCACCATGGCCATTTTTGCTTCCTCTACCCCTAAATCACTCAAAACTGCTGTAAAGTGGGTGGCATAGCAAACGTGCATTTTATAATAACAGTGCCAAATTTGGTACAGATATAGACCAATATCATATCAACAAATGTGGATATTGGAATGTGGAGATCTGGCCCTTGACGGCCGTGGGAGCCATCATTCTAAAAGTGTTGAGTCATGCTGAGTCAGCACTATTTTGAAATGCATTTTCTCGTGCATATATGGAAGCTAACATGTTTTTCTACCTTTTTTTCTACACGCTTGGATGCTAAACAGGCATAAACAATGAATTTTCTGTCAATACCTTATTGAAAAAAACATAATTATGCCTGCCAGCTGATGTCAGGCCTGGCTACACCTGCAAGAATTGTACTGCACTGAAATGTAGAATACAGATGACCTACACAAAGTTTAGTTGGGAATTCAAGTTCTGACTCCCCAAAAATGACGTTCTGGACAAGTTTAAGACCTTCCACTATCATAGCAGGAAGGGATCTGGCAAAACCCTTGCCCAGCAAACAAAAATCAACTGATTTTAGTGACAAAAAAAATGCTGAACCAGCATTTTTTTAAATGTAATTCTGTTTCAAGCTTCGGTGAAAAAAAAATACATTTATGGGGTTAGTCGGTAAATACAAAAGAGGTTATTGATACCGCCATGTAGGATGGGTTGCCCTATTACTGCAGCACTTATCACGTTTCTCGTTCGGAATAGAGATTCCCCACTAACCTTCCTAAATTGTCCTGTCTTTTGTGTAGTATAACTCTTCCTTTTCAAATTGATATAAAAAAATCCGATGGTGGTGTGTGGTTTATTCCATGTACAATGCCTGTGAAAATAGACATGCTTGGAGTGTGCGAACGGAGGTGGACTCCCTATTATCGCAGTATGCGGGAAGTGTTTTTTTATAATGATCTCATCTTTTTTGTTCATAGTTAATGTTTGACCAAAACATCCCCTGAATAAAGTCTAATATTTTCCCTGTAACGTTCAAGTTGATTAAAGATTGTAAATGTCTGCTGGATGATTTTTTAAGACCCTGCCCTTCCCCCGAAAGAAGAACACAACATCACTGAGGCAAGTCTACTGATTAGTTATTGGGGGCGCCATTCATTTTACACTGTGTGCCGTTTTATTTTTATCACACTCGGGATAAAAGGAACCATCGAATGAACGCTGGGCATGAAGACCACATGGCAATTCAAACACAAATCGGAAATTTAACGTGTTCACGATCGCTAGGGGAGCTCTCGGAATTGAACAGGAAATTTTACTTTTCATCCGGATCGTAAGTAAACTTCAGTACAACCATCTTATTTATTGATGTCTACTTGTACCTTAAGTGGCGTATCTAGTAATTTGGAGGATGCTTTGAGGGTAAAATCTGATGTTTTTGTTGGGCAATGTTCGATTTTGGGTCAATGACAGAATTGTGTTGCTCGGCATATAAGGATTAGCTTGGACCGTACTATCACCAGACCATGTCCGAATGTTTAAAAGGCGATAAGTTGGGTCCAAGTTACTCGGACTAGGCTAGCCACACTCGCCCACTGCTGAGGAGGTTGTACTTAGGTTTACTTACATGTATGATCCGGATGAACACGTTAAATTTCCAACTCGTGTTAATGTTTGAATGATGAGATGCGGTCTTCATGCCCAGCGTACATTTGATGGTCCCTGTATCCCCAGTGCAATTCCGTTACCGGGCGCGATGCATCGATTATGATAATGAGTAGACTGGATCTCATTTGTAAACACAGGTACATTTCGAACGATAATAGGGAGTCGAGAACTAGGGCACCTTTTATGGGCGGAAACCAGTTAAAGCTAGTTCCCGATTCCCTTTAACCGTTCGAAATGCACTTAAGTTTACAAACGTGATCCAGTCTACTCATTATCATAATTGATGCATCGCGCTCGGTAACGGAATCGCACTTGAAAACACAAGTGAATTTCGAACGATAATAGGGAGTCGGGAACTAGGGTAGATTTTATGGACGGAAACCAGTTCAAGCTAGTTCCCCACTCCCTATTATCGTTCAAAATGCACCTGCTGCAGTCTTCATTATCATAATCGATGCAGCGGGCGCTCGGTAAAGGAATCGCACTCGGGATACGGGGACCATCTAATGAACGCTGGGCATGAAGATGCCATCTGATGTTTTTGTTGGGCAATGTTGGGTTTTTTTTGTCAAGGACACAATTGTGTTGCTCAGCATGTAAGGATTAGCTTGGACCCTACTATCGCCAGACCGTGTCCGAATGTTAAAAAGGCGATAAGTTGGGTCCCAGTTACTCGGACTAGTCTGAATGTTAAAAAGGCGATAAGTTGGGTTTCAGTTACTCGGACTAGTCTGAATGTTAAAAAGGCGATAAGTTGGGTTTCAGTTACTCGGACTAGTCTGAATGTTAAAAAGGCGATAAGTTGGGTCCAAGTTACTTGGACTATGGCTAGCCCAGGTTGGACTCCGTTGTGTCAGTCGCAATGCAATGGGTAATACAATGAAGACGTTGTCTAACCTGGGCTAGCATGTGGCCAGAGATACAGCGCAGCAATATCGCGGCCACACTAGTGGGGCTATAGCCTTTACAGTAGTTTTCCTAGTTCCGGATTTTTCCTAGTTCCGGATAGCTTCAAATAAAAACCTACCTCTTTTGGATTAGTCTCCAATATTTTATTTCTGACAAAATTGTATGCTTCTTGATATACGAAGATCTTTTCAATAAAATCTTTAGAACAGGAATTTCGGTCAGATTTCTAACTCGCACTTTGACTTGTTTGGACGGTTTGTAGAAAATCGCCGGAGCTGGAATCGACGAAAAAATGTTCTCCTCGGTACACTACTTGAACCATGTGATTTCGAATATTTTGTTTATACACTACAGTCGTAAAAGCTCTTCCATCGAATGTTTGTTGTATCAAAATAAGTTGTAGAGTCTCTAGTCCGAGTAACTCGGACCCAACTTATCGCCTTTTTAACATTCGGACATGGTGTGGCGAGACTATGTCCGAATGTTAAAAAGGCGATAAGTTGGGTCCAAGTTACTCGGACCATAGAGTCTCTAATTTTTGAAAATTCGCCAACAAATGACTAGTTCCGGAAAGCGCGTGTACTTATTCATCCCTTATCCTTACGACCCAACTACACGCGCATTAATCAATTTTGTGTGACGTATTCTGTGTGCTGTGTCAAAATGTTTTCGGTCCGTGCGTGAGTTCATGGCGCTGCGCTGCAGACAAACGTTTCAAAATCATTTACGTTTTTCTCTTTGTTAAATTTGGTGGAATTCTCTTGAATGAAACTATTTTGGGAAAATTAAATAATACTTTATCAGAAAATATGCTTGATTCGGTAAATTCTGGCTGAAAAAAAAAAAAAAATCTCATGTGATTCTTTTTTTTTTTGCGCGAAGCAGTTTTTGATCGATTCGGAACTGATTGAACCGATCCAGAACTGGGAAAAGTGACATCGGTACTTTTGACGTCGTAAAGTCAAAATAAAAAGAGCCTTAACAGTCAGTACGCAGTGCACGCGATAATGAGGTCAAATCCCGAATTTTATTTGAACGGCCTACGTCACGAAACCGCCACGAGACTTACACGTGTAATTGCGAGAGTTCGCCCGATCTTTTTTCACGAACTACACATTCCAAATGAAGCAGCTGGTTTCCAAGATGCGTGGTGAGTCGACAGCGAACGTTTTTCTGAATCGAACGATATAAAATACGTCGAGATTCTGCATGTTTTTGGCAGAATTTTGTTCACTCGAAGTTCGGCTGTGATTTTGAGAGTGAGTTTTGTTGTGTTTTTATTTGTTGTGCCCTGACTCAGGTAGAAAATAAAGACGAAAATGATCACTACACAACGATAAAGGGAGCAATGAGCTTTCGTTTGATACATATTTTAGCTTGTGGCGACATGTATGTACTTTTCTCCGAGTCACTTTTCCTGCGCGAGATTTCAAATTTTTCGGCCTTTTTTGGCGTGGCCATGTGCAGCGTGTACAGTATGATGTACATGTACATGTATGTTATGTATGATCACGCACACGAGCACATGCATTTTTAGGAACATTGGTTAGTTTGTTTGTTTGGATTTTTTTTGGGGGGGGGGTGTTTTTTTTAAATTAATATTGAAATAATTTTTTTTTTTGTGAGGCCCTAATGCATGGTGCCTGAATATTTGTGTTACTTAATTTTGGAAAATTTACTATGGACTGCTTTACAACATAATGAAGGCTGCTTTTAGGCTGCGTACATGACTAATTGGTACTATGCTGCAAGAGTGCTTTTATAATAATCTGAAGAGTAATTCCAAAAAAAAAATTCTTTCCATAAACTGACGATTGTCATATTTTCTTTCACTCCCAATCAGGAACCTGTCCCTGCCAGTTCGGCGCCCTGAATGGTCCTCAGATGTTGCGACAGTTCATCACCTCCAACACGGGAACCATGATGATTTTTGTATTTCATTGCTAGGCCTAATGCCGGTTCATACTTTTGATCAATGATTTTGATGTCATGAAATATTCACTGCAAAATTTGCCCGAGTTGAAATTATGCTCAACCTTTGCAAAATCGCAGCGCGAAAACTTGCTATGGCATCAATCTTTTGCGTTTGCATTCTCTTTCACACAGAGTACGAACCGGACTTATGTTTTGTGTAGTGCATACAACATTTACAAGTATGTGTTAATCAACGACATTTGTTGTTGCCGTCACTGTTAAAAATGGTTATATAAAGTCATGCCACAGATACTACGCCGAAAATATCAATCAAAGAAAAATTTATTGATGTACATGTTGCAATTATACATTTTAGATGTTTCGTGTACATAATAATTATTGTGGTCAGTGACACCATGCAAAAATGATCATCTTTACTTCACTATAATTATAAATCATTTAAATTTAACCTCGTACCTCATACTACCAGATTTGGGCAGTTTTTGATTGTACCGTAGCAGAGTTGATGATATTTGACAATGTAAATTTTTGTTGATGTTATTTCTTAGCCAAAGGCAGTCATTGTCAATACATGTGTGCCAGAGCTCTCTTTCATAAAAGTGTCTTTTTTCACCCTTTTTATATCAGACAATATTTTTGGCAGGAAAAACAGGTATTAATAATATATGTACTTGTACTGTGATGCAAGATGTCATGAAAAATTAGTTATCAGATTTTTTCATAAAGTGTTCGAAAACACTTATTTATAGCAGCTGATGGTGTAACAGTCATGTTTTCAAGTACGTGTACATGGGAGTTTAGATTAATCAACAAACAGGTATTATATTTAAACATATAGTTTCTTGCATACAATTAGTTCATAGCACAAATTAAATTTTTATATGATTTTTTATAAGTTGTACTTTGGAAGATATCAATAAATGCAGAACATGATTATTCTCTTTAAAACTTAGTCACTTGTTCAATTGGCTGATTTTGAAGTTGCATATAACATTTTTGTATTTAGTAAAGGGATAAAATTTAAAGAAAAAAACACAGTCCAACAATATTGAACTGGCAATGCCAGTTCAATATTGAATTTAACAGATAAATAATGTCCGAAGGGTTCTAGACCTAAAGAAAATAACTTAATAAATGCCGCAATTCCATGGCATCGATGTGTTGTGCGTAGTTCGACAGGAATGCACCAACTACACGTTATTACCAAGGCTTTGTCAATGACGTCATATTTGACCAATGAGAGCACTGGAAAACAACGTGCTGTCATGGCGGGATGTTTCGTCGTAGTTTTTTTGGACAAACGTTAGAATTTTGTGTGCCCTGACTCGGGTAGAAAAAGATCAATACGAAATCATCCATCTTTTGATAGAATATGGAATTATCTTTAACTTTGGTGTAAAATTTGGCTGTGGCAATTGTCAAAAGATGGAAAACCTCGTCGTGTTTGGGAGGCCGATTTGTTGAGGTTCGAAGCTTTTTTTGCGTTAAAAATTTCACCCTCTAAATATCACGTAATTTCCAATCTGATTTGATAATATAACTGAATATTTCCCTATCTGAAAGAAAATATACATAATGTTGACAATTGAAAAATAAAATTGATATTCTGGACCACATTCCAAGCGTCGTCAGCAGCTCATTAAATATTCAAAACGAGGTCACACACGGAATGCCATGCATACAGCGCAAATAAACTGAACGTCTTTTCAGTGCGCTGCGGACTGACTGTTAATTTGGAAAATTATTATGTAGTATCTCCATCACTCAAGGTAAACTATTATTATATTAAACCAATGTCACTTGAATTCGTGGAGTAATTGAGCTGAAAGCAGCCTGCTGAATGATGTTTGCTACTTCTGAAATCAGAAGGCTTCTCTCCGTCAGCCTTCTGAGAGCCTTCAAATTCGGGGTTCAGCACTCTATGGCTTTTGGACATGCCCTTTGGGCTTTGATAAACGAAATACCTTTGTTTGAAATTCCACTTTCTGAAATGCAAATCCACCACAAAAGTTGAGCTGGTTGATCCATAACTCTGAAATGTTTTCCCACAATTGACATTTGGATCATGGGACATTTTTTGGGTGATAAATTTGAGTTTTTACTCACCAGCCTCGCGTTGCCGATCCGACGAACACAGTGGTATAGTTCATGTGTGTTTATGTATGTTGCGCGTGCGCTGATCTTCGCGTGACCTCAGCAGGTCAACTCTACATTCGGCTCGACTATTTGGGATGGAGGGGAGATTGTTTGCTTTGCATCGCGTAACAGTACATCATGATGCGCGGACGTGGTCAGACGGGCCAATCACAGCCTCGACTCCATGGGCGCATGCGCGTTCCTTTCACTAACCCCTGGCCATGATGATGACGTAAATGACGCTGATTGGCTATTCACAGCGTACTGCGCGCGCATTTCGAAGATTGCACGCCGGGCGCGCCATAATGCGCTCATGTGCTTTGCACGTAAACGTCACGTACAAAAAAAAATTGTTATCAAAAGTCGCGATGCCTGTATGATATGGATTATGGCAGCCTCGTTTTTCACTAAAAAAACCCTGTATCTTCGGTTGTACTGGGACGAAAGGGGTACGTACAAATCTTTGCTAAATAACGCAACGTCCATACGTTATGTTTGAAAGGATTGATTCTTCAAAATCACAACTTTTAACATTTTAAGATGGCGTCAGAACGTAAAACGGATAAACTACAGCCTAATTATAATGTGCCATATTTTGACACAAATTACACAATTCCAGGGATTAAGATTGCGCAAGGCATGATGGGAAACAACATGGCGCAGCAAGATCGTACCCATGGGGAACGAGGTTGGGCCAATCACGAGGCCAAGTGCATGACGTGTTAAATTCTGCAGATATTTGGAATCGCACTTACGATCCGGACATGAAGAGTGCCCGGAGCGTCAGTGCGATACCAAATTATCCGCAGCATTTATCATGTGGCTTCGTGATTGGCCCGGGCTGACGCCGCCCGCGCATCATGATGTACTGTTTCGCGATGCAAAGCATACAATCTCCCCTCACACCCAAATGGTCGAGCCGAATGTAGAGTTGACCTGCTGAGGTCACGCGAAGATCAGCGCACGCAAACGTACGTAAACACACATGAACTATACCGCTGTATTCGTCTGATCGGCAACGCCAGGCTGGTGAGTAAAAACTCAGATTTTCCACCCAAAAAATTGTCCCATGATCCAAATGTCAATTGTGGGAAAACATTTCAGAGTTATGGATCAACTAGACCCGTGAACGTGGCTATATGGCTATACATAGCCATGCTTCAATCTATAGTAAAAACACTCTATTGTGATCCACGGTTACTGTGATCAAGTGACCCGTCTAGCCGAATTTCGGCTACATTTGACAGAATATTTACATACAAAATGAGTTGTCAAAAAATCCAGCAAAATATTTTTTCGGCAGAATTATGTAGATGAAGGACAATGAAAAAGATTAGAGAAATATGGACACATTTGGTTTGAAAAACCTTCGTTTTTGAAATATCCCTGAAACAAACCCTTACACAATGGAACAACAATATATACTGGGTGATTAGCAGAATTTTACATGGTATTACGGTCATCCTGCCAAAGTGCCATGTAAGACTGTAAGTCGGGTACCCACTGGTGGGACTCCTACAGTTTTGCGCATGCGAAACTCGGGGTACCAGAGTGTCATGCCTGTCTTTAGTTTTTTGATCATTTTGAAAACATTCGTTGTCACAAAGTTGTGCCGTATTTTACTTCGAATTTCTTGACAATAACAGATCCAACACTCGCATAAATTCACAGGAAGCTTAACAAGTAAGTGATTTACCTATGAGCAAAATTATACGTAGTTATATATAGCGGATCAAGATATAATGATTTCGCTTGTATATAGACTATGGGTCAACCAGCTCAACTTTTTTGGTAGATTTGTGTTTCAGAAAGTGGAATTTCAGACAAAGGTTTTTTCGTCTATCAAAGGGCATGTCCAAAAGCCATAGAGTGCTGAACCCCGAAAATGAAGACTCTCAGAAGGCTGACGGCCGGAGAAAAGCCTTCTGATTTCAGAAGTAGGCCTAGATGTTTGCTATCCGGAACTAGGAAAACAACTGTAGTACTCCACTGGAGCTATACTCAAGTCAAGCTACAAAGTACAAGCCTCCTACATGTAGAGTCTAGCCCAACTGCGTCTGGCCGTACAGTACTATCGCAAGCTCTGTAGTACGGCCAGACGCTCAATGCTTCCACACAGACTGAATTTTTTTCCCGCTGATGTAGCGATTTTGCTACAGATTTTGATCGAGATCTTTTCATCCAGGACACAAATTTCCAAAGTTAAGGTTCTTAGTCGTAGAGCAACTCATACCTTTTCGAAAAAACGTTCTTTGGACTCAATATTTTCATATATCTGGCCAAACGACGACTTTCAGTCATCATCTTCCACAAATATCGTCCCGAAAATGCTCCCCCATGCGATTTCAAAATGGCGGCCGCGCTGTAATGTATGCATTATGCGGGCGCCCTTGGGCAAGATAATGAATATGCATTATTTAGTTCATGACCTCGTGTTTGTATGGCCAGCCGCGCCGCGCGCCCGACAAACGTCATAAACTATGATGCATATTCATTATCTGGCCCTAGCACGCCCGCATAATGCATACATTACAACGCGGCCGCCATTTTGAAATCGCATGGAGGACATTTTCAGGACGATATTTGTGGAAGATGATGACTAAAAGTCGTCTTTTGGCCAGATGGATGAAAATGTTGGGACCAAAGAACGTTTTTCTAAAAGGTATGAGTTCCTCTACGACTAGGAACCTTAACTTTGGATATTTCTGTCCTGGACGAGAAGATAACCTCGATCAAAATCTGTAGCAAAATCGCTCGTCAGCGGAAAAAAAATTCAGTCTGTGTGGAAGCATTGAGCGTCTGGCTACAGGTACTATATAGTATAGGCTGTTATGTACTTTTGCATTTTTTTTTGCTAAAGAAGGAATTTTGTCATATTTAGATAGAGTTTACCTTTCTAAGCCAGAAATCCATTGGTAACATTTTTTTCCATCTACCATGTGGCGGCCATCTTGGATTTCAAAATGGCCCCCATTTCGAACCTAATGACGAGCGGCAGCCATTTCGAACCTAATGTGTATCATAACTTCAGACCTGATTGTCATATGAAGTCCATTTTGGTGGCAAACCCTATGTTTTTAATACCAAGGAACCCACATAAATCGTTGTTGATGGGATACTCCAAATGGATGGCAGCCATCTTGGATATTTCAAAATGGCCACCATCTAGGGTTTCATTCAAATAATAACGTTGCACCTGAATGTGGTACGAAGTCCATTTCGGTGGCAAACGTCATATTTTTGATACCTAGGAACCCAAGTAATTCATTGTTGACGGAGTACTCCCAGTGGATGGCAGCCATTTTGGATATTGTGGTGGCACACCCCATAAATTGGATACCAAGGAACCTACACATTGTTACCCCGATGGAAGGCAGGTTTCTCTGGGAAGAATGTTTCAAACCACTTGGAACAATCCTTGGAGTGTTATTACCTCATTATGATCAACAGCACGATAATAATGACTGCTGGATATGATTGGACTGACTGTAACCTGACTGTACAGATCAGAAGCAACCCATGCAGACTTGGTCTAAACCACTGTCACAGTGTTCAACCATTTTCCCAGGCACCCGATAGCACTGAAATTGGTGTGAATCAGAGTTGTAACGAGCCGCTAATTTTTGTGACTCGAGTCAAGTCAAGTCATTTTAAAGAAGTGAGTTGAGTCCAGTCGAGTCATCAGTTTGAGAAATTTGAGTCGAGTCGGGTTGAGTCAAATATTTACCTCGAGTCAATTCGAGTTACGAATATTTGAAAACCACATGACAAAGACAAGACTGGGAAAGTCGTATCACTAACAGTTAACAAGAAGTGAAACTTCGATCTTATCAAGGCTATCTGGTTTGGCTTCGGGTCTTGATTTTATTTCGCTGACATCAAAACCAAATTGCAATATATACAAAACTGTTTCTGATTATTTTAAAAGTCGGTATGTTTCTGTTTAATTTTTAAAAGGAGGGCATCAATTTGCCGGCGTTTGAATCCAAGAACTTCATAAGAAACCGCCCAAAGCCAATGATGAAACAACAAATTGGAAATGTGTTTAAAATCCGTCTCCTCGGTGGATAGTATTTATGTTCCATAATGATGATGTGGTATGGGAGTCTGTGACACGTGGACATTACAAGCGGCCGCTGTAACTGTATTCGCAAAGCGGCATCAACATAAATGTTGCACCGTACGTCATTGCAATTATTTTTCGCAAAGTTTTGCTTTTATTTTTGAGACTCGAGCCTAATTATCCTTCGCTTGAGTCAAGTCGATTCATTTGCTCACCGTGATTCGAGTCCAGTCATTTACCCTTAGGGACTTGAGTCGAGTCACCAAAAGTTGTGACTCTGCTTTCATATCTAGCCTAGCCACGACAGGACCAGGGTTGTCTGGGCATGTGATGCAGTTGATGCAGAGAGCCACTTACGAACAAAAAGAAACCCAGGCATTTCGAGAGGTCATGACCTATCTTTATATATTTATAAGATTATCTCGGGTAAATGCCACTTTTTTCATGATGTGAGGGCATCATATCTGACGTCTGATACCTTGGAGAGGTCAACGAACTTTGTATACTTTATTTGTCGATATCTATCATATTTATTCATAGTCATGTATTGAATTCAGACCCATGCACAAACAATTTTGAGGTGACCTCTAACTCAATTTCTTTTCTTTTTTAATTAACCTAACCCACCCACTCCTCCAAAACCTCTGACGGTTTTGGAGGATTCTAGAGGATGAGGATGAATGGTGATTGAATCAAATGAGGATTCTTAAAAATGAGGATGAAGGTGATGAAGCACATGAGATTTGGAGATTGAGGATGAATGGTGAAGAAGCACAAGAGGATTGGAGGATGAGGATGAATGCATTTTGAGGCAGGACTGTCTGATGATTTGAAGGATTTGGCGTTTTCATTTAAACACGAGGCAAAGTTGGGATGAGGAGGATTTTGGAGGATGATGAATGCATTGAGGCAGGACTGTCTGACAATTTTGAAAAATTTAGGCAGTTGAAAAATTTTGGAGGATTTTGGAGGATTGAGGATGGTTGTAAGCAACAAGGGCCTAGGGTTAGGTTAATGGCAGATTAACATGCCCTAATTGGAATGCAATGGAATGTATACAAATGTCAAGCAGTATCATTATTGTGTTTTATTACACTCTGTTATATCCAGATGGACTTGAGTAACCACATTTTTAACCTTTTACACAGCCTACAGGTCACTGTTAGAGTGTGATGCTTGTCCAGTGTACCTCTTATATTCTTAAAGCAGGGAAATGGAGATCAGAAGTCATGATGACAAAATTGTCTTTGGGTCTGAATCATTACACACTATAGAATAATTGTTAAAAACACTTCTTTTTCACTATTTAGACTTAGGTAATGAAATTGGCATTTGGAAGATTAAATAAATAGCGGCAATTAGGGTATACAAGTTCATTGGGAAAAGATGTTGCATCTTGACATCAATTTTTTTCATAATATATCATTTCCAATTTTGTTAAGAAAATACTTAAAAAAACTTTCTTGACTCTCCATAGACTTTGTACACAACCGCTGAAGTGGTATGTGGATTCTACATTCTTCCCCTACATTGACTCTTCACAAAGGTCACCAGAGGTCAGATTTGAAATGCCTCTATTTCTCGAAAATTCTCGTCAAGGCATGAAGACGTGATATGCCAAGTTTAACCACAAAGTGCACAATTCTGTCACTATGCCGCTCTAACTATTGCCAATAATTAACAATCCAGTCCACGAATGGTCAACACTTGTCACTGTGCTATAGAGACCCTTTAAAAACTTAACTGCAAAATGGTGCTCATTCTGAAATATCCAAGATGGCTGCCATCCATCGGGGATACCTCATCAATAATGTATTTTTTAGATTCCTTGGTATCAAATTAATGGGGTTGCCACCAAAATGGACTTAATACGAACGTTCAGGTGCAACGTGAGTTATTATTAAAAATGAAATCCAAGATGGCGGTTATTTTTAAGTATCCAAGATGGCTGCCATCAATTGGGACTACCCCGTCACATTTCATTTACTTGGATTCCTTGCTATTGAAAACATACTGGGTTTTGCCACGAATGGACTTCATATGACAAGTCCGAAGTTATGATACAAATTATGTCCGAAATGGCCATTTTGAAATATCCAAGATGGCTGCCATCCATTGGGAGTACCTCACCAACAATGATTTACTTGGGTTCCTTGGTATAAAAAACATGGGGTTCGCCACCAAAATGGACTTCATACGACAATCAGGTCCGAAGTTATGATACAAATTATGTCCGAAATGGCGGCCATTTTGAAATATCCAAGATGGCTGCCATCCATTGGGAGTACCCCGTCAACAATGATTTATTTGGATTCCTTGGTATCAAAAACATAGGGTTTGCCACCAAAATGGATTTCATATGACAATCAGGTCCGAAGTTATGATACAAGTAGGTACTAAATGGCGGCCATTTTGAAATATCCAAGATGGCTGCCATCCATTGGGAGTACCTCGTCAACAACACTTTACTTGGGTTCCTTGGTATCAAAAACATGGGGTTTGCCACCAAAATGGACTTCATGTGACAGTCAGGTCCGAAGTTATGATACAAATTAGGTCCGAAATGGACGCCATTTTGAAATCCAAGATGGCCGCCACATGGTAGATGGAAAAAAATGTTACCAATGGATTTCTGGCTGAGAAGGTAAACTCTATCAAAAATGAAAAAAATTCCTTCATTAGCAAAAAAAATGCAAAGGCTAACTGTTGCTATATAGTCGTGTTCCCTAACGTGGCGCACTTCGAGGCTTACCCAACTTTCCTCGTGTAGTGTTGCCAAACCCTTTTGTTGATAAACCTCAAATTCATGCAGTGAAATACTGGTACCTTTACCTTTTTAGAGCTTGCTATTTAACCTCTGTGAACAATTTCGGTTTCACAAAATTTAATCCGAAATGCAAAAACGGTCGCGTCCGAAATTGGGCACAAATTGGCGGAGTGTTCCCTAACGTGGCGCACTTGAATAAATCTCGGAAAACTCCAAATAAACATTTAAGAATTTCTGTAAACTTGATAATTCTGATAACTCATTATTATCTTTACTTACAAACCCAGCAAGATGTTTGTCAGAAAATTATTTACTTATTTTTCGGGGCATTTTCAAAGGGTTCACTTTGCACTTGAAAATAAAATCGGAAAATCACGCCAAAATATTTTTTTCTTTTAACTTTCTAACGGGTAAATAAACTCGCGATTTATGAACGGGAGTGTTTAGAACTTGATGAAATTTCACTTTCAGAGAAATTTCAGTTAAAAGTTTTGCTCTAGCTAGGCGCTACAGGCGAAAAATCAAAGTGCGCCACGTTAGGGGCCGCGCCACGTTAGGGTACATCAACAATACAAAACACCAACTAAGTACAAAAACGTCCATCCCAACAAGCTTTTTCCCACAGAACCCAGGGGCAAACTGTGCAGCGGTTCTGTGGGAAAAAGCTTGGTTGGGACGGACGTTTTTGTACTTAGTTTGTGTTTTGTATAGCAAACAGTTTAGCGGGGTAATCTGCCTATCAAGGCTCCACTACGTGGGGTGGGGGGGGGGACATACCTTGATCATAACTGATGCAAGCGCAAAGCGCGAAGCCCTTACGTCGTGGGGTTCGGGGCCCGCTAAGGCCCCGAAAAAAATTGGATTTTCTATGCTCTGTGGTGTGATCTGACTCCGAGGCAATTTCTTACCACTTTAACCAATAATTATCTTAGCACAAAAGATAATAATTTAAACATAATTTTCGAGGTTTTCTCAGCTAAAGGCATAAGAACATTTTGTGAACATTGTTTTCGAGGTTGAAGTCATTGAATCAGCTACCAGAATTCTGAGCTATAGGCGTGGGGTTCGGGGCCTGCTTAAGGGCCCCGAAAAATTTGGATTCTAAATGCTCTGTGGTGCTATCTGACCACTTAAACCAATATTTTCTAGATAGTGTGATATTTTGCCGGAGGTAATAACGGCAAACTAACAATTACTAAAGGTTTGCCGGCGGCAATCCATATCAACAGAGGGCGCTGAACTCTTTAAAATAGAGCTGAATTATAACATGTATTAAATTCCCACCAAAAGTTGTGTAGCACGTTCGGTGTAATGGTTAAGCAAAGGCTCTAGAAAGCGGGATGACTCGCGTTCGATTCCGACCGCACCACATTTTGAAGGGTTTTTTTCTCATCCCCAAATAAATAAGAATATTCTTCTTTTTATTATTTTACATGTCTCAAACATTTTTTGCAGAGTATTACATTTTCTTTTTCAGATTGTTGGCTCTGGAGGATTTTTTTAAAAGGGAAATAAAGTCCGAAATTATGAAATGGTCTGAATCCCATCTTGTGAATACGAGGTAACACGATAATTTTGGCATGGAGCCAGTCTAAAACTTGTCACCGGAAAATGTTTAAGTACAAAAAAACAGTAACTGCGCATGTTCAGTGCATATCCGGCAAACTAACGTTTACTAAAGGTTTGCCGTCTCCGGCAAAATATACACTGCCTATTTTCTAAGCAAAAGATACATTGTACTGTAGTACATAATAATAATTAATATTAATAGGGCCATGGCGTCATGTAGATCAATGATAATTTTTTT